AAGGCGCTCTTCGATTAGTTCGAAACGGTAAACGGTTTTCAAGATACCGTATGATCGAATAAAAACGGCGTCCAGTTGGCTTGGAAATGACGACCGATGACATTTCCCATATAAATTTACATATAGATCTTCATTTCATAGCCATCGCTGACGCCGTTTTTATTCGATCATACGGTATTTCCATTCAATGGTTCCGATGCATCGATTTTAGTATTAGAGAAATCAGGAAATTAATTTAAAAAAACACAATTAAAATTAATAAAATATCCTAGCAACAGCTTGCGGTAGTCTGTTGTATCCATAAAGTGTAATGCTTCATTCAGAACCTCGAAATTTGTGGAGAAAATTAGTGATTTCAATTAGCGTAGAAATCTGTTCATCTATTTTTAATATAAGCATTCAGAACGTCATAATTAGTGGTAGTAATTTTCTATTAGTCGAAAAAGTTAACAAACTTTTGACTTTTAGACTAATTATACTTCCAAATTTGCGAGGAATGTCATTTTGGCCTTTGGTTATCATCCGTCAAGAAAAATTTTGGTTAGAAATCAAAAGTTTATTGTTTTATAAGCTAAAATATTATACTGTCTCTATGGATACAACAGGATACAACAGACTACCGCAAGCTGTTCCTAGGATATTTTATAAATTTTAATTCTGTTTTTTTAGACATTGTGAATGATCGTAAACTAAAAAGTATAAAGTGTAATTGAAAGTTAGCTTGGAAATTAAAATTGCTGTCATTTTCTATATAAAATTATATGATGAATGTCACCGATCGTCGTTTCCAAGCAAACTTGACGTCTTTTTTTTTCGATCATGGTAAGAAATGCTCTTGATTTAAATACGGTATGATCGAAAAAAACGGTATCAGCGATGGCAAAGGCGATGAAATGAAGATCGCTGTCATTTTATATGTAAAATTATATGGGGAAAATCACCGATGTTCATTTTCAAGCCAACTGGACGCCGTTTTTTTTTGTTGTATAAACATGAACAATTATTGTCAAATATAGAAGTGCTCAGTATAATTATCAATCCATAATTGTTCCAGAGTTACATGGAAATTATTTTTTCAGAATGTTGATCAACAATAATACCAGTAAAAATATTCGATTGTTTGATAACACTTGTTGCAACATTAGGCTGTCCCAAAATATAGGTAGCTATAAATATACGCGCACACTGGAACAGCTGACGATGGAATTCTAGCAGTGCTGAGATTAAGTAATAATGTATGGCTCATATCACCGGTATGCGGAAATATATCTAACAAAATATCCGTATTACACCTTACTTACTTTCATTTTGAGACCGTTAACGCCTTATATACGCGTTGCGAACACCGTAACACATTGCCAAAAAGGACAGAACACTACTGATCGCACACGCCTAAGACGCTCCATCCATAGTCTGGATAGTGGTCTAATATTAGGCGCAGTGTTTTGACACTTTGCCAAATCCGAAAGTATTAATACGACGGTCGGTCGTGACGAGGCCTATTGAGTGTTATTTTTGAGCGAAGCTATGGTGGTGATTTTTTCTGAGGAATGCAACAGTTATGCAAATTTTTCCGCACTACGCTACTGGTCAGATTATTATTAGGTTGTTTTATATAGGCCGTTCGCAATTGGGTAGATGAAATTTTATGAATATGAAGTACTGTTAGAATAAAGAAAAAATTGATACAAATATGCTATTATTAAAAAACATACAGGCGGGTGTTCCAAAGTTCCGTGAACATAGAACTAGATACGTATTTTTGGAATTAAAATAAATTAATTGGACACAGTTTTCTATAGAAACACTCCTCTGTACAAAAGTGTTCTGTAGCCTTTTAAGGAATAAACGAAACACTTTTATATTGAAGAAAAATTATATAGTTCTATATTCAGGAAATACACTACTCAAAACAATTATCGCATATTTGAATAAAAAAATTATTACATACTATATGAAGCATGCATTTTTCTGCCTTGCCTCCTCTTGTGAGTTTTTTTAGGATAATTAGGGTACGCATTTACATGTAATTTTTAGTCGGCCAACTATTTAGTTGCAAAAGTGAAAACAATACGTTCCTATGGAGCCGATCGGCCCATATTTGAATACACGCGTAGCTTTAGGCTATGCGCTGACAGGCAATTTTTAATCGGCTGACTATTTAGTTGTATATTTGTAAACGATATATCCTTATGGAGCCGCGCTCAATGCAATCAAATAGTCGGCCGATCGACTTCATAAGTATGTATTGTTTACACTTTGCAACTTAAATAGTCGGCCGACTAAAATTACAGGTCAGCGCATAAAAACCATGCTATTTAAAAATCGTAGTCAGGGAATTCAAAGAGTCTTGTTTTTCAAATTAATATTTTTTTTTTAAAAGTATCCGATATTAATTGTTTTGAGTAGTTTATTAGGACACCATGTATATCTCGAAAAACTGCAAAACAGCTGAAAAACAGTTAAACATTTCAAATACAAATATGCTAATTCTTTTCAAACCTACACCAAATAATAACATACAGGGTACTTTATTAAAAAAAAGGCGAAGAAAAAATTACTTTGAAATTTAATAATAAAATATATCTTATAGACTTGCATTTTAAACACTGACAAAACGAGAGAAGGCATACCATCTTTGGCATATTTACATTCAAAATATTCTGATTTCGTTATTTGATCTTGTCAAACACTTAAAAATATATATTTTATTTTAATGTATAAAATTTATTTAGAAATAGATGAATTCGCCAGGATATATCAATTATAAATTTATAATAAAGTAATGCATGATAAACTATACAGTAAATGTAAAATATCTTAAATATAATTTAAAAATACTAATTATGAGCGTAATACTAAATTACTAAGTACATAATTTAGTTTGGCATTTCTGGTCCACACCCTATCCACTAAACTTGATACAAAATCTAACAACAAAATAAACGACTAGCAGAATAACACTAACAAATCCAAATAAGGTAACGTATTCTGACACTGACACTTCTTGGTTTTTTTAAGACGGCAATGGGCATTTAGTCCTGTCTGAAATCAGAAACACACAAATCATAAAAATATATAGTATACCTGTTATAGTAATATACAGGGTAAGCCTTAAATAAGTACAAATATATTTTCAGGGCTGGTAGATCTCGATAAAAAGAAACATATATTCTCTTTATCATTTTCCAAATTCCAAAGTCAAAATAACCGAGTTATTTTACTTTGAAAATTCAAAAAAATTTTTTTGTTTAAATTTTGAGAACCACTGTTTCTTTTCTGAGTTTTCTTTCTTGTAAATTTAATCTACTACCTATGTTGCCATATTGTCAGATTTTTATTTCAAATTTCCAAAAAAATGTTTCATGAAAAAACCTTATAGACGTGTTTCTGAGTGTTGAAACCCTAAAAATATTTGTATTTATTTAAAACTCACCCTGTATATAAATATCATAAAGTTATACAATTTGTGAAAACTATATAATTAATTTAAATCAATACGAAATTGATTCTACACGTAGAATAAGGGATAAATTATAAGTATACTTTATGATAAAAAACTACATGTTATTGCTTACCCAGCACTCCATTTGCATTTACCCAATACGCCATACATTATCTTCTAGTAATTCAGTCATATCTTCCAAAATGACATGTAATTGATCACATTTTGTCCTTGTCCTAACTTTATTGTCAACAGCTAAACCGCCTGCTATACAAAAAATACTGCTACTACCTAAAACATACAGTTATATCCTTAGATGAGGGTAGTACCATACGATCGAAAAAAATGGCGACAGAGACGGCTGGGAAATGACAATCGATGATAATTTTGGCGAGGTCAAGCCCTAGACATCATTTACTTGGCCCGTACTCTTCTTCATTTTTTAATGGCGCTTACTGCCATTTGGCTCTAAGAAGGTTGTAATTTATTTTTATATTTACTAAAAATTATTTTTAAATGGTGTTATTTCAAATCCAAAAAAAATTTTTTTTTGGAAATAGATTTGTGTATGTGGGAACTTTCTAGCCTTTTTTGATTTTTCTATAATTAGTGTTAATTCTAACATCATTTACTAAAAATTGACACATCCTATATCAATTTTTAGTAAATGACATCTATAGAGATTGATTTCGCCAAAATTATCATCGATTATCATCCCCAGGTGTCTTTGACGCCGTTTTTTTTCGATTATACGATATAATGTAACCTTCAGTTACAAACTACTTGACAGTGAGCAAAACTTTTTTGTTCTCTTTGGTTAAATTGTTAATATATTTTGAGCACATTGCAGTCTATTCATTAGGTAGCCAGTTGACTTACAATCATTTACATGGTATTCTGCGTACCTATCTAGATATTTTCTTATCTTATTAGTCCAAGAAAATAGGCCTTCAAATACGAAGTTTTGGTAAAAACTTGAATTTTTTATATAAGTTACTTTGAAACATCTAAAAACGAATTGTGAAAGTTTTTTTTTAATTCAGCCCCGAGAAGGGGTGACGTGAAAGGTGAAATAAATAATTAAAGTGATTTTTTCAAAATTTCAGTAAAACAGTATAGAAGAGAAAAAAAAGTTCAAATAAAAGTTGTAGAGCGTCAAAGCAGCGTGTTTTACAAAAAAATATAACTCTATACTTTTTTTGCTCAAATCAATATTAACCGAGATAGAGTAGCTAAAAGCTAGGGGACAGTTTTTATATTGAAACATTTTCAAGTCATTACCGTTTCTCCGAAATTTAAAAAAAAACACTTTATCAAGTCAAGTACAGGCGCTGCAGGTGAAGCGTGGGTACCAAAAACTAGCGAAGTCGACTGGCTGTCTAATGAATAGACTGTGATTTTTATGTTCCTAATTTACAATTAGGGAATACAAACCCTAATTTAACAAACAGGAATACCTTGCCCCAGGTAATTTCAGTCCTTAAAATATGATGTCCTATGGCCAAGAGTAATCCAGCATTACCATCAGCTGATGGTGGACCTGTATGTCTAAATATCTTCGTATACAACTTCGGGTGCATTCTTTCTAATTCTTGCCCCGCACATGCTAAACCTAGAAAAAGAAACAATAATATTGGACACCATAAAGATAAATATAAATATATAAAGTTTCCCAGAAACTTGTATTCTTGATAAAAGTCTCTGCATCCTTAATAGAACTAGGAATACACTTGTCAACATTGAAATACCGTATGGTCGAAAAAAAACGGCGTCAAAGACGGCTGCGGAATAACAATCGATGATGATTTTGGCGAGGTCAATCTCTAGATAGTCTTCTAGTCTTTCCAAAAAATTATTTTTTTTCTCGATTTTTAAACTACACAATTTAAAAATAATTTTTACCCTCTTAATGCCAACTGGAACTCAAAAAAAAAAGTAAATTGAATTTCTGTCATTTTTTGGATGTCATTTGTCGAAATCTTCCCTAACTTGTTGGCAATTAGTTTGCTAGAAAGCAGTCTTCTTTATAAGTAAAATCTTTATGAGAATCTTTTCGTATCTGGACAATGTTCTTTATGCACATACTTTATAATGTTCATTTCTAATATAAGTTTACCTGGAAATACTTCTCTGACTATACTGCTGCATCCCTCCAATGATCCCACAGCGCTTCTTACTCTTGTCAGTCCTAATTTCTTGTTAAACAATCCGGCTTTCTTTAGTCTCGTTCTGACGTACAAAGTACAAAGGGCTCTGCCAACGGCTATGATTTCTTCAGGGGGTGCGGCTAAAAACTACCCTTTTATTATAAAATGTAACAGAGTGTAACTTTTTCTTAATATTCCGAGATTAAATATAATAGAAAAGATAAAAAATGATATTCTAACAGTTTTACAGCCAACCATATGTGTATCGATTAAAATATTTATTTTTATTTCATTACTTCTATCGATTTGAATACCCTGTAGACCACTGTCCACTCTCAAATTACTGATAAATTTATGCTAGTCATTCTAGGAATTTGTTAGTTGTTATTGAAGATTTTTTTAATTCACTAATATTGTCGCTCCTCAAGTTTTTTATGAAGTTTTTAATTTATTTTTGGATGAATCTGGTATTATTAATATAGAAATATATTATTCTCATAATATATTTCTATATTCATACAGAAAACACGGAATTGACATCACGACAACCAAATTTAAACACCTTTATAGTCGGTTTTGTTTGACATCTCTTTTGTTGGGATTTTATATATTATTTTATTATCGGTTTTGAGCAAGTGTATAAATCCGGAGAAACGTTGAGTTAAGATTTGAACTATAGCGAATTTTTTAAAGATCTTAGAAAGACACTTTAAAAAATAGTTCCTTTACAGAACATGACACTGTTTGTTTTGGGACTAAAACCATGAAATATGATTTTTTACTAGTATGAGTAATTATAATTATATATAATTACCGTGTAGGTAAATCAATTAATTATGAAATTCATATAGTGTTAAATAATTATAGTTTCATACCCGCATTTATTATCTACTACTTGTCAACAATAATTATGATATGTTAGTTTTATGAATTTTATTTAGCTGTTCTAGTAGTGCATCTACCTATATACATTATTAAATACTTTCATTACTTTATTTATTTTTGTTAGAAATATATTATATTTACCACACAATCCGCATTTTAAGATTAGCAATAACTCTATATATGTAGTTGAACAGAAAGAATATTATAAATTATTATATTATTTTATTAAAAACTGTGAATTTAGGATAAACCAACATAGGTAGATATAAATTTTAGAAGTATTTAGTATTTTGAAGATATATAAATTCTCCATTGAATATCGGAATAATATACTGGGTGTTCTATTTGAAATAAAGGAGTAACTTGTTTTTAAAAGTGACCAATGTTAATCTTGTCTCACCCTGTATAAATTTTCGGGTCTTTTTTTTAATCCAAATTTTATATCAGGCTATACAGGGTAAATTACAATTTAGGTAGCTGTTATTGAAATTATTAAATTTTGAAGGGATTTGAAGGACTCTCCTTGGAGCCTCCGCGTCGTATGAGAGACGCCACCCTGTATAGATAGGTATATTATTGATATTAATTAAGCATTATTAATTTATATATACAGGCAAATTTCTAACTAAATGTACGTATATTATTTTGAACGTATATTTACTTGGAAATTTGCAACAATTATATTCCATTAAAAAACTAAAATTTTATTTTTTCGGTCTATCCAACCAGTAACCGGTCAAGTCAGAGACAACATTAAAAAAATTGCAGATATAATTTACCTCTGAACTAAAGAATAAACCACCAGATACTTTATACTTTAGCTCTCAGCTTCAGCTTTTTTTCTCGTGTAATTAGTTTAAAAAGATACGTAATTTATTTGAATAATTTAGAGCCCACAAGAAATCTAATTACATAATCGTTAATTCACCATGTATAATATACATACAGGGTGCGCAGTACAATAGGTATGTTTGAAAATTAGGTACAAGAATATTTCGAGAATTACATTTTTTTTATACTAACCATTAACGTTTGACCTCCAACCAATTGTAGTTGAAAGTTTTCTGGAAACTACGTCCCCCACATTACTAAACCTTCGTCTAAAAGCTGCTTGTGGATCAGCAGTTGCTAAAAACATAAAAAATGTATAATGAATAATTTTATAATGATAACAAGTCATCTTGATCACAGAGCAGGGGCATGTACCAGAGCATATACGGGAGGGGTAATGACCCTTCCCAGGAAGAAATTGACGAATAAAATAAAATGTGTTATAAAATAAAATCTCAAAAAAAAGTCTCAAAAGACGTTAATAATACCAATCAAAATTGAAGATCTAAACCAATCAAAGTATATTTCTTGCCACAGACACAATACCTCCTAGCGAAAATATAATTTAAATTTAGTACTTTATTTAAATATTGCGACTACCCCTCCCAGACTCAATCTCTAGATACGCTACTGTTGCAGAGGGATGAGAAAAGAAATCCTTTTTAAATATTAAATATTCTATGAAAAGTTAATTCATTTCATATAAATATAAATACTGTATCAAAAGAAAACGACGCGGCCGCGGCTTCCAATTGGCTTGGAAATGACGATCGATGACATTCTCCATATAATTTTATATATAAAATGACAGCGATCTTTATTTCATAGCCATCGTTGACACCGTGTTTCTTTCGATCATATTGTACCTATTATGTAAAAATACAAGGTGGCATGTAAAATATTTCACGCTTCACTTCGGTTAAACCTCAAATGAATAAAAACACAACAAAATACAACTGGTTTCAAATCATTAAGCAAAGTTTCAAAAATTAAACAAACGGTATCCTGTGCAACATTTTGTTGTCACTCGGTATAGTTTAAAGATACCACCCCTGTATATTTAAACCTTACTCTATATTTCAAACCTTACGTGGTGCTCCTTGTGTCGAAAGTACCGGAATGCTCAATTTCCTTCGAGTCCTAGAAACTCCATGAGATAGTTTCCGAGGTAGCTCCACCACTTTAGAATTTGAGGATTCCATAAGGATGGTTATTTTGTTTTCAGGTTATCCTTTTCTTGTCCTCCTAAATAATAAGACATTATTTTCTATTTTACGCAATCCACACTTTTTTCAAAACCGTTAATAGGAAATGTTCGAATAACCTCATTAATTCTACAATGAAAACAATATAATTTCACTTGTCTGACATGCTATTTATGAATAGAAGTAAACTAAAGTATTGTGGGTGCAAAGTCAATATACCGGGGTTTTAAGATTGTCTAGAAATATTGGTTTTAAAATTATATGTTTTTAATTACATACTATTACAAAAATGTTGGTGAAATATTATAATAACCAACTTTTTTGGTAATATTTATATTTTTAGTTCTGTTACTGTTCAAAGCAAATTTTACAAAATATATATTTTAATTACCATATAATTCTCAAGTCTTCAACCTTTTAGTGCAATCAATTTTTGGAAAAAAAAAATTACGCAAAGGAGTGACACAATCCAGTCTCATATTGCAGACATGCAAACCATGTGTGGTTCCAAGCACCACAACATAAAATAGTTGGAAGCCCGGGTTATCCACTGGGTACCTCATTGGGAAAAGCGTAAATTTAAAGAAGCCGTTTTTCGCTGACGAGTATTTGACACGCATCAGAAGATGGTTACGCAAGGCGTTTTCTTTCACGAGCTTTTCTGTGACTGAAACTCTCTTCTGTGACTCTCTCTTCCTTACTCTGAACATTCAAAAATCTCATTACTTTGTTGCCTCTTTACTTTTTGCTTGTCGTTGTTAACTGAGTTTACAATTCTTCTCCATTGTGTTCTATTGTGGGCTGCTTCCTTCCATACTGATTCTGCATGCTTAATCCCCTTTAATTTTTTGTGGAAAATATCCTTGCACCTTTTGAGTTGTCCGTAAAGAAGGAACAAGCTCATCGTAAAGAAGAAATTTCGGTAGGCGGCGTAGAACTTTGCGAAATGCGGGAAAGAATGAAAGCAACTTGATATTCAAAGGCAGATGATTTTTTATTTTTACATTTTTTAGCATTGTATTGAGCCTAACTAGTTCTGAGCTCGGGGTTGGAAGATAAAGATCGTGCTCGGCATTCCTAAGTGGATAGTTGTGAGATGGCCTTTCGGGAATAGCCGATATTATGTGCTTGCGGATTAAGCAAACGGATTCAAAAATGAGTAAAGAAGGAAGAGTCAGTATTTTGAAATTTTTAAAGAAATTCTGGCAGTAAGTTCTACTGTTCAGTCCCAATAAATATCGAACTGCTCTCTTTTGAAGTTTGAAAATACGATCAAATTTTGTTGCGCAGCAAGTACCCCAGAATGGAAGGGCATAACGAAGATGTGACTCAAAAAGGGCATAATAGGCTATTCTAGAGGTTGATAAGTTAAGTTCCTTAGAAACTGATCTTAGCGCAAAACAGGCAGCGCTTATAGTTTCTTTGATAAAGCTTCGATGTGCAAGTCCCAATTTAACGAGTTGTCTACAACAAGTCCTAAGAATTTCACAGAGTCCACGACGTCAATAGTGGTGTTATTAAGTACAAAAGGTTGTATAGTACTTTTATATGACAAAACTTTAGTTTTTGATAGGTTGCGGCATAGGAGATTAGAATTGTACTTTCCTTTGTAATTTTTCACAAAACCCTTGTATAAGTTAAACCGAATCTACACGAATCACGTATTTCAGGTTGGACATAGATTTCTATCACGACATTTTAAGTTGCTTATATAGACCATTGAATTTTTTTGGGAAACAGTCAGGTACTTTTAGGTAAAAGGTGGTAAAAGATATGTCGGCCTTTACTATTAGTTCCTCTGTTCTTTTCCTAACGACTTTCACATTCGTTCAAATTGATTCAGGACAATTTCCAGGATATTTCTACCCTGAGTCTCCCAATCCCCCATTTCATTTTGACGAGCCAAGTACTTCACCTCCTATTTACGTTCCTCCAGTATTTTCCGATGAACCACCTCAAGTAATAACTTCCGATCCCCCTTCACAAGATTATCTACCTCCTAAACCTACAACAAGCTACCTTCCACCTCCTAGTAATGAAATATTTCCACCTTTATTACCACCCACACTTCATGACGATGATTCAGTGGTAATTCCAGCCTTTCCATCCCCAAGCAATTCTCCAAAACCTGATTACGGCCAACCTGCTTTTCAAATTCAGAGCATGTCCTGTATACAAGGGTCTAGTTTTCGTGTGGATTTTAAAACGGATGGACTTATTCCATGGTATCCTGTTATAGAAGAATCGAATGAAGAGTGCGTAGAAACCAGAAGAAAAAACGTGTTTAGAATAAATCTGAACAATTTCGAAGCGATGCTTCGATGTGGTGTAAAACGATGTTCGAAAGATAATTTAAACGATGGAGGAAGAGATGATGGAATTAATTTTAACATGTGTGCAACTATAAGGGTACCTACTGTGAGAGGAGTGAGATTACCGGAAGATAAAATTATTACTTTGATGTGTACACCTCAGGATCGAGTGGTTAGCAAAACTAGGCATATAAAGTTAGGAACTAATAAAATACTGTAAGTAAATTATATCATTATTCTTTCAGCAATTTTTATTGGTATATTTGTTCTCAAAAGCAGCTATTTGTAATCCCTTTTTCAAAAAACTTTTACTGCTTCAAACTCCTGTTCAAAAAACAGGAAACAGGTTTTTGTTAAAGATCCCTATCTCTAAATATTGCGGGCAAGGTGACAATGGTTTCACACAATATTTTTGTCAATATACAGGGTAATTTAAACTTATATTTCCATAGATTTTATAGTTTTTTTAATCAATATAAGATTATCTTCAAAACACAATAAAATTATAATCAATACGGAAAGGTTTTTGAAATATGACTATTTTAAGTATTTCAAATGGAATACATTAAATGTTTAGACGGGAAAAATGGTACCTACCATATTTAACCGGTTTTCTTGGACAAATATCTAAATGGTTTCCTGTTTTTATCAAATTGACTATTAGTATCTGTATTGTCTGTAAATTGGTTCCTTTTGAAATATATTCATTTTCTACGAACACTTGATAAGGTAGATAGAAAAAGGACAATAATTATCGACTATTATCTACAGGGTGCCTCAATATTCCGTGGACATAGAACTACTACGTATCTTTGGAATCAAAATAAGTTCATTGGACACAATTTACCTTTATACAAAAGTGCTTCGTTTGTCCGCTAGAGGGCACCAACCTTTAAAAAAATAAACACATTTTTTCAGATATTTTGAGAACCGTTGTTTCGATTTGAATGAGATTTTGGATGTCTATGTTTTGCTTTAACATTTGGCTTTCAGAAAAATTAAGAAAAAGTACGTGAAGGGTAAAAACTACCCCCACCCTTACATAAATTTTAATATAAATATTTTCCAACTCCACCGACGACAGATTTTCTTCTCGTAAAATGATCCTTCTGGTATTTACTAAATTTTTTGTCACTTGTAGAAAAACGATACAACGCATAGTTTTTGAGAAAAAAATTTTGGAGAATTTATTTTTTCAAAGTAGACCTCCAAAATATACAGGGAGTTTTAATATTTCGTGGACATAGAACAACTACGTATTTTTTGGATCCAATTAATTGCACATAATTTCCATTTATACAAAAGTGCTTCGTTTGTCCGTTAGAGGGCAACCTTAATAAAATTTACCTTGATTTTAATCGTAGAAACTAAAAAGATATCTTCTATATCTTTTTTTGTGTTCCTTGTAATGAAATACAACTTTAATTTTTTTATTCGTTTATGACACTATGACCTTATGAAAATAATTTTAAATTATAGCTCTAGTAGTCCTTCAACGACCCCAACTCCCTACAAGTTTAAAAATTGCAGACAAAACTGTTGCCAAATTAATCTAAAATATCTTTCTTTTAGTTCAAATATTCACGGCCGATCCAATCAGAATATCATAGCATCTGGAGGTTCTCAGAATGATTTAAAAACTCTCATATCCATATTTAAAAGACCACCAGGAAGCAACACTTTTGACCAAACCGTTCAACCGAACAGCGTGATAGATCTTGGAGAGGAACTATTGTTAAGAGCTGTGGTAAACGATGAAGATGGTATTGCGGATTATAGTGATCTTTAATAAGTTTCATTAAAACTTCTGATTTGATTTAAGGGTGGAAAAGCAGTCAATTAGGCTCTTTAGTAGCAACCGGACTTCAATCCAAGAAATCCGTCATTCTTTTAGACGAAAATGGATGTGTCAATTCAATGATGAGAAGTATATGTCCTAAGAAACCCCAGAAAGTATCCCCTTTGACTACTGAGTTATATTTCAGGTAAAAATTTCAGAACTTGCAATATTATTGAGTAACTTAAAGTATTTTTATTTATATTCAGAGCTTTTTTGTTTCAAGAGTCCCCACAAGGAGACGAAATTGTATTATCTTTGAAAATGCATGGTTGTCTTAACCCACGAGATTGTTCTAAGGTAAGATTGAACCTCAATACACAGTCACTACACAAATTTTGCATTTATACAGGGTGTTCCAGGCTCAGCGTGCGTTAGAAGTTTCTAAAGAACTGCAATATCTAGATCGGAGATTTTTTGCACATCATTGTTTCACAACGAGATCTATCGATTGAAAATATTTTTAATACGGCGGCATTTCCGGAAATGCCGGAAGTTGACTGCAACTTTCTTATTTTAAATGGGTGCCCCTATTTTTTACTACATACTTAAATTCTCTGTAAAATTTTATAAATTTTGATATTAACACTCTTCCGGGTGCGTCTCAAAAGTGGCTCACCCCTATAACTTTTTTATTTTTTCAGATAAAACAACGAGATTTGGTACGTTAGTATACGACATAAATTAGGATTGATTGACATATTCAATTGTTTTCAGTCACTTTCGGTTTCACTGGAAATGACTACAGCTTTTGATTTTTAAATGAAACTCTCGCTATTTTTTTACTTTATTTGATAGAAAATGACACGCTCAAAAGAATGACATATCATATGTCAACTTTTGACATTTTCGCATATAGTTTATTTCAAATTGTAAAACATGCGGTTCATAACGACAATTTGACTCGAAATACCAAGTGTGTGGTATCAAATTATTCGTAAAAAAATGCTTTTTCCAGATATGCTAATGAGCCACCCTCGTTCCATTTGAAAAAATTCAGATATGATTAAAAATACGATTTGGGTATTTTATAACCGGCCAGGACAAGACACTAAAAATATTAGACGATCAAATATATTTTTCCAAGGTTCCTTGATTAAAAATTAGTGTTTTTAACACAGCCATGGCACTCTAGATTGAAATTTAAAATACAATTTGTTTTTGAGCGAATACGTCAAAAGTTGACATATGATATGTCATTCTATTTAGAATGTCATTTTCTATCGAATAAAGTAAAAAAACCGAGGGTGCCATTTAAAAATCAAAAGTTGTAGTCATTTCCGGTGAAACAGGAAGTGACAGAGAACAATTGATACGTCAATCAATCCTAATTTATGTTATTTACCAACATACCAAATCTCGTTTTTTTATCTGAAGAAATAAAAAAGTTATAGGGGTGAGCCACTTTTAAGACGCACCCGGTATACCTAACTTTGACCTAACCCTAACATATTAACCGTTTTTGAGAAAAAAATATTTAAAATTTTTGGACGAAAAAAACTGCCTGTCAAAAGAAATGGTATAGCCTAAACGTCAAATTTAGTGATTACCACAACCCTGCCACAACCACTGTGACATAACGAGAAGAGGCTATGTATTTCAAAAGTTAAATTGTTCTAATATCATATTATGAGTATATGAGCCGTATGGCCGTAGCTGTCATGGAATTAAGCAATTAAAAACTTTTCATAGATCATTTTTTTCAAATAGAAACCCACTTTTCTTATTTCACATATTTATCTTAAATATATTAAAAACATTCAAATTTTGATTGAACTTGCGTAGCTATAGATTCTGTATTTTAACGTATGAGGTTTAGCAAGTGCTTTAAGTCTGACAATAAGGCGTGATGGAAAATGTTACATGAGAAGAACTATATAAAAGAATTTTTTAAGATGCTACAGAAAATAATAGATATCTACTGCAGATATAATTTCTAATTTTATACAGATAAGTTATGTTTTTAAAAATAATTTTTATCGAATATTTCTATTTTCCTGCAAATGCTAATATTTTAAAATTAATTGAAAGGTCTCGAATAAATAACTAAACACTTTTAGCAGGTTATTATACCTAAATGATTTCCATAAATTATCATAATTGTATTTACTGTGAATTTGAAATAATCACTTATTCGACCATATCTAGAAAAAAAAACTATAAAACGATCAATTACAGAAACAATAAAAATATTGCGAAAACATTCACAAATAAACACATTAGGAACTAAACATATAATTCACTCCATGCGTTTAATTAACGAAAATTAACTTCAATAAATTTAAAGGAATTGTTAACGCAAAAATTAATTGTACGTGCATATTGGGCTGGATAAGTCGTAGTTAGGGGAATCTGGTTTATTATCGTACAGATATAGTAATATTATTTTAAAAAAACCTTGATTTTTTTGGCTTTCTTGATATGTAGCCTTATACACTGCTGGCAAAGGAATATTAGCAATAGGAGGTTTTCAATGCGATAAAAAAAGATGGTAAGGCTGCAAAATACACTGCAGTGCAACAGAGACGGATAAAGTGTCTTTTCCCTACCATCGTACAGGGGAAGTGATCATAGAAGTGATACGACGAGAGAGCCCCTACGAGAGGGGGCGCCGGGCGGGTCTTTAAGACGCTTGTGTGGGGGCTACCGCCTACTAATAGAACAGAATCGAAAAAATAGAAACAGGACGGGCAGTGTTGCCATTCAATTAAATCGAAATTATGTTGGCTTGTCAAAGTCCTAAATCTTCTAATCCCATTATCTTGCCTACTTAATGAAATATTAAATAAAGTACGAAACAATTTTAAGAATGTTTTCTCTAGGCACATAACTTCTTTCTAAAACGAAAAGTAACATGCAAAACTTTGAAATCATTTCTAAAATAGCAAGTGCAATTCTATGAAATGGCAATACTGTACGATCTTCCTAGCAGTCGCCCCGACACAGTCGGTCGGCGGCGGCGCTTGACAAAGCCGCGGCTGTGACAAAGGAATTAGGCCGAAAAAAACTTTATAAGGAGTAGCCGAACAGGGTTGCCGGGTTGGTTAGATTATAATTCCATACGAGAACAAAATTCTCGGTAGATCTTCAACAAAAATTAAAAGTACAGAAACGAAATAAAATATAATATTTAAGTCCAAAATTAGCATTCCTATGTGTCGTAATAATAGATCACTCAAATAAAATACAAATATAATAAATATAACAAGAATTAGAAATAGCTAGGTATATTATTTGATATTAAAAAAAATATTGAATTAAATAATATTAATATATTAATAAAAACATATAAAACTATAACAAGTAGGGATAGCAGTCACAAATTAGTGTAGCAGTCACTTTTTACCTTTGTACAAATTTTGATCAGTGATATCTAAAATTAATTTCATTTCAATGGGAAAGCTGTAGCAACTCTCAACTCTTTTTTCATATTAATATATTTTTTTGACGGGAAAATCACTAAAATATTTGTCCGAATTTAGGTTGTTTCTTAACTTAAATTTTGTTTTTTGTTTACATTTTTTGGGGAAAATATGGGTTCAACTTTAGTAGATGAATGAAATAAAATCTTTTCAAAAGATATCAACTTCTTCGGGCATGTCGCCAATACCGCGCCTAATAAGGAGTAATAAGGAGTAATAAGGATTTTTAGGAATATCTCTGTAACTCTGCAACTAGACAGAACGATGACCTGTATGTGTGTTATTACTAAATAAAATTTAATGAAACAATAATAAAGTCAAATTATACAGATTCCAACACGGCAGTCGCTTAATTTTTAGTCAAATAAGTCAGCTTTTTATAAGTGCTTCTATTGTAAAAACTAAAGACGCAGTTGAATATATCGTTAGATTTTTCTTTAAATCGGTAGATCGGTAGCTTACAGACGAAACCGGTAGACCTGGCAACTCTGTGATGAACTGACGGGAGTCAGAATAGCGAGGTGCGGAGGCGCGGGAAGGGAAATAAAATAATGGCGATAAATAAAGGGCAGGGAGATGGGTATCATGAGTGGATGGGAGGTGGCGGAATTTTCAAAATTTGTTATCTTATTGGAGTTTGTCTAAGTAGACAGTCGTAGTGAAGTGGAAACGGGGAAGTTGTTGTCCATCTCTGTTTAAGCATAGACTTTTTATAGGCGTTTCATTCCAATGCATGTAATTCCTATGCCTAGAGATCCATTGCCGGGCCTGTATATCTTTTCAGTGACATGTGGACGGTTTCTGGACACACTTTTAATTTTCGCTGACTTCCAAATCTGTTGTTTGTCAATTTGCGAAACCCTAGGTGTGGATTCTGTCGTCCTAATGCCACTAAAGCGTTAAAATTGTTTTCGCGAATCTTACGCGGTCTCCCTGGAACTAATCCATGCTTTATATCTGTGCCATTTTTTATCCTCTTTATTGTCTCATATACTGCACTTTTTCCGAGTTTAGTCAATTGCACTAATTTTTTAACGTTTCGAACACTTTTTCTATAAAAATATTCCACCATTTCTCTTTGTTTTTACTTGCGACATTACTTCTCAAATCTTAAGCCGGTTTACAATCAACAATATTTAAGAGATGGTGTTGCCATGCGATTTTGATCATAGCCTACTATCGGCACAACCTACGTGATGGATTACTGTTGTCTTAGAGTGTTACAGAAAAAAAATACATTAAAATTAGGAAAAATATAAAATTCCGGATACTTTTTAGACGGACTATATATATTAGGTATAATATCTAGCCTAAACTTACCTTCATACAGAATGTTCAAAATTCTACGCCAAACTTTCTAAAATACAAAATAATTTTTCTTTTTTTTTAATGGAACGCCTTGTATATTATTTTTTATTAGATGGAGAGTTAAAAAATGAACATTTTTTGTTTTTAAAGTATTTCAAAATTTTTAATGGTTTCGCAGATACACGTAGTATTATTTCATATGGCTCTCGCAACGGTAAAATACGAGAGAAAAATTATGGTGGGGCTTTGATAAAAATTTACTGTGGAAAATGCCATATAAAATATAAAACCACAAATATCTGCGAAACCATTAAGAATTTTGAAATGCACTAAATACAAAAAATGTTCATTTCTTAATTCTTCATCTATTGAAAAAATAATATACAGGGTGTTCCATTAAAAAAAACGAAGAAAAATTATTTTATATTTTAGAAAGCTGTATGATTTACGATTACCATATTTATAGCAAAGTAAGTGCAGACCATCTAAACCAAATACCTAATATAGTTTTGATTTCAGGACAGTTAACGGGTATTTTTAATATTTTATTTTAAGAAAGGCTAAAAAATATACTTTTTTATTTATTTAATAATACCTCTGAAACTATCAAATTAGGTCTGAAAGGAAGCCAAAAATGCAATAATATACAGGGTGTTTCATTTAAAAAAAAATCATCCCGATCCACTTACACTTTTTTGAGCCAACCTATAAGAGTTAAACTATTTTCCTGAAATACATCCTAGAACATACTTTAGGTTTGTACTTAAACAAAATTCCCAAGTCTTTTATTCTAGGATCTAGAATAATAATTCTTCAGATGCCCGACGCACTATTGCCGGACCCTGTAGAATAACGGTTGATTTTGGAGTTAAAATATATATTTTTTTGTTTTAGTCCGATATTTGCCAAGAAAAAACATCTGGAAGAACAAAAACTAAAAGAGCCACCGTTAAATTGTACGAGCAAATTCATGAAAACTTGCAAAAAAATGCCTCCAATGAAATTGAAGACTGGGAATCTGAACTAGTATTTCGAGTTCAACCACCAATTGTAAATAGAAAAACTATACAAACGTCAAAATCATCGATATTGTATGACTTTGGCACCAACATCATTTTAGTCGGAGTTTGTTTATGTACTTTATTATTTGTTTTATTAACATGTTGTTTATGTTATAAAAAGAAATACGCTTAAGTAACAATATAGCTTATTGGTCATATTAAAAATTTGAAAATTTTGTTATATTTGTTACATTTTTTTTATTATTTATTGTTATTGTTACTTTATATTTACATAACATCATAATAAATAAGTTATATTAACTCTTCTTCTAATTCCAGTTCCCCGCAAGCCATCTTTTCTACCTTTTGATATTCAAAAAATATTTTATAAAGTTAACTCTTAATAAAAGTCTTGAGTAAACTATACCCTCTCGGCAACAGAAAGTCTTGAGTCGGAATGTATTATGCGTGTACTGACAAATTGACTGTACTCTTCGTACACACGAAAATTGGCACCCAAAGCAAAGCGTTACCTTTGGCGTTACCGACCGTGTATATTAGAAATGAGTAATAATGACTAATTTCTATACAGAGTGGGTCTTAAATAAGTGCAAATATTTTCTGGGCTGGTAGATTTCGATAAAGGAAACATATTTTCTCTTTACTGTTTTTCAAATAAGTTTTTTACTTTAAAAATTAAAAAAAAATGATTTTCTGCTTAAATTTTGAGAACCACCGGATTTTTTCTGTGTTTTCTGTTCTTCTTCGTTCGAGCGCTCTGTATATCTGGCATCGTCATATCCCATCTTTTTCAAATGAACACTAATGTGATAGTAAGTGTAATATAATGAGTAACTAACAGCACAAACAAAACTTTATCTAATGCCAATATACAAGTTCAATATTATTAGTGCATACAACAGAAATATTAAGTGGGTCGATAACATGAGATGAAATAAAAACGATCGTCATAGTAGATGTAGAAATATAATTTCTGTTCAAGTAAAATGTCCAAAACATTTTTTCGAAATGATCTATCAATGGTATTATTTTTAAAATATTCTTTAAACAGGAGGATCAGCTAGCAGTCTCAAGAACATTAGCGATTGATGTAGTAAGCAAAAATGGTTTATCTCTGTAGTTTATCTATGCCTACTATGACATCGTTTTTATTACATCATATTGTATAAAGTAAAAATATTATGTTATTGAAAAATTATTAAATATTATAAATATTAATAAAAAAATATGTTATAAAGGCCGTAATATTTTTCGTGGCTGATTTTATGATATATACCGGGTGCGCCTCAAAAGTGGCTCACCCCCATAACTTTTTTATTTTTTTCAGTGACCAAAAACAACTGGATACGTCAAACAATCGTAATTTATGTCGTACACTAACATACCAAATCCCGTTTTATTTAATTAAAAAAAATTAAAAAGTTATAGGGGTGTACATTTCTCATAATAATTTAAAAAAATAATTTTAATAAGATTCTATAGACTCCAATAAATTTTTTAAGTTCTGGTACATAAAAAATCAATTTTGTATTGCACACACACACTGGTTTCTTCTCAACTTAAAAAGAATGTTAACTGAACAACGAATAGTATAATGGAACATCAAAACGTACGTGTTCCGTTGATTAATTGTTTTAAATTAAGCAACACATTTCCTTGGATTCAATAACACTACCAAACAATTTAAAATTCATTGGCTACGTTATTTGACAACTAATTTTGCCAAATACTGGTATAGGACTCTTAAAGATGTAATATTGCATGTAAATTTGCAAATAAGTTCATACACAAAAGTCTACTGATAAAATTTTATGACCATTTGTATGTGACTTTTATCGCTTGCTTCTTAATTGTTTGGAAATATTGTTAAGTGCTTTGAGATGATTTAAAAGCCGCGTATATCTTTATTAATACATAGAATATGAACAAATATGAACTTTTACCTCTTTGGAATATTATGTTATTAGTTGAGGCAAAAATATAAACATATACATGTAATTGAAAAACTTTCCTCATAATATTTACTAGATATATCTATGAATACGTATGATTTTAAGAAAAGATACAGGGTGGCAATTTGAAAAGTAGTAGCAAATAATATCTCTTACAAAAAAATATTGCCAGGAAGACCTAAAAAAACATATTGGAAAATTACATAGGGCACTTTGGTTTTCCTAATGTGTATTTGAGAGCTTTTTTTCCTATTTAAGAGAATGTATAAATTTTCTAGTTTTTTAAAATGTTGCTTATTTTTAAATACCGATATCTTAAAAACTAGTTTTTCAGATTTCGGTGTTTAAAAGACGTTTTTTTCGGCAATGTGCTACACAATGCAGGTTTTATAATAAAATAAAGCAGGTGGTTACGGCTGGTTACCCTTTAAGGGTTGTGGGACTCAAAAAGTACCTACTGATTCCTCTTCTATATCCCACAATATATGTAAATTTGAGATTTTCCTAATGGTATTTTTTATAACAGATATTCGCGATTGTTATTTTCCAAATTGTTACACTATATTAACTAACGTAATATTGATTATTATTAATAATAAATAGAAAGAAAGAAATATATTTTGCGTTAGTAATTTTACAGTAGCTTCTTTAAACTAAGTAGAATAAAATAATAATTTATTCAATATACATTCATTATTAATAACGACATAAATTACAGGTTACTTTACCTTTAGTATTTTAAAGACATCACAATTTACGTTTTGTACGTTCCAACATGTTTCACTCCTATATTATCCTTTAAAAAAATTAATAATAATTTACACAATTCACGATAGAAATATTTTATTAAAGACCGCACATCGCGTATAATATCAGATCCTGTACTAATGTACACATTATACTCGCGCGTTTATTTTACAATGAAAAAATATTTAACAAACTATACCATGTAAAATAAAACTGAAACTCATTGAAAAAAGCGTACAGCTGTAACTGATTATGAACCTCGAGTATTTCAGGTTAATATGCATCAACGTTTTGTTCAACATTTAAGTCTACTTCCAACGGACACGATATAATGTTTTTCTTTAATTGTTTTTCATAAACATTTTTGTTAGTTTTAAATGACTTATTTATATGTCAAACAGCTCAAATTGTTTGTTTTTTTATATGTTAGTTTAATAATAATTTACTTAAATACATATTTTATTGTAAAGTCAAGAATAAAATACATCTACGATATTAAAAAGTCTCGTTTAAACAGTTTAAGCGCGAAAATATTTTTTTTAGTATAGGCAACTCAAAAAACGCTATCTGTACGTCAACGCAAAAGTCAAAAAAATAATAGTGAAATGAGCAATGGAAATGAGTCAAAAAGATGTTTAATCAAATTTTAAGATGGAGGTTGAAAAGTTATTGTTTAATTCTACATATTGTAGATTATGTTGCACAGAAAATGAAAACGGAATCAACTTATTTTCAGGCGATGATAATTCCGAAGAAGTGTGTAATTTGATAAACAGATATTTACCTCTAAAGGTATATTTAAAAAATATTTAAGTAGTGAATTTGATTACCTCGTTCCGATATAATTTTTTTATATAGGCGGGAGGTTTAAACTAAAATATGGCAAAATTTTTATATCAAATTTCCTTTTTAGGTAACCCAAGAAGATCCTCTACCTAAAACAATATGTCCTGGGTGCCACATACAATTAGAAACAACTAAACTATTTATGGATTTAATTATTGAAGGTCAAGATAAATTCAGGATTTTATTAAAAGCCGAACAAGATTTACTCGAGAGGGAAGAAAAGGAAAAAAAGGAACTCGAAAAAGCATTACACCATCACAATCCCAATGCTAGCGTTGAAACATATACCATACAAACCGATGAAAATGGGGAAAAATTTATTATACAAAGTAATTGTGTTTGGATATTGTAATTTAAGTTTTATTTGAAATTTGCTTAAGTTTATAGCAAAGGACCGTTATTTTCTCCAGAACATGAACTAGTTCTAAAAGCCGACGGGCTGGGTAAACCAAAAAAAAAACGGGGAAGACCTCCAAAACCATCAAAACAAGAAAATAGTCATGAAGCTGGTTAGTATTTTTAGTATGTAGTTTGTGGAACAAATTTATTTTTTACTACTTTTCAGAGAAGATTGCAAACTCAGTAATTGAGACCAATTCTAAAGATGATACTCACGAAACAGTTGTTAGAAATGATAGAAAAAAAAGAAAAATAAGAGCTCCAGCCAGATATGACGGTGTTGTGCAGGTAGGGCCAGTGTTTACCACAGTTCATTGAGTTCATACTTTCATGTTTTGAATTGCTATAATTATAATAATGATTATATCTGAAAGGGTGCAGAGCTTGATCACTTTTTAAAAAAGGAAGGTGTTTTGGATGAGGTTGAAGAGGTAGCTTTTACTGGATTAGAAAAAACATTTACAGACTCGAAAGTACAACCTTTAGAAATAGGAAAAATACTAAGCTCAGAGGGACAAGATTTAGGACAGTCAGTATTTTCAAATAGAAAATCAAGTAAAAAGAGGATGAAAAGGAAACTGAACAGTAGTAACTATTTATCTTTGTTTGTAATTTCTGCAACAGTTTTTTTAAGGAATGAAGTATACTTGTGATATTTGTTCAAGAAAGTTCCTACATTTGGATCAATATGAATTACATAGAAAAGATCATAAGGTAATGTATGCATGCCAAGAAGAAAATTGCCAAATGAGAAGTGAAAATAAAGATATTATTTTGAATCATCAAAAAGAAACTAACCATCATGGTATTGCTTTATCTCAGGAAGACAGTTGTGTAAGGTTTTCTATTTTTTTTTATATTAAATCATGAGGCAGAAAAAAATATATCAGTTTTCTGGTTTAAGCTTATTGCTCCAATCTTTTTTTATAGAATTTGCAGGTAATAAATGTTCTATTTAAAATAGTAGATAATAGTGAGCGAGCGCATTTGAAAAATTCTTCCTCGCTCTATATGCAACCACTCTAATAACATCAGTTTTTGACTCACCCTGTATATATCATGTAGTTTAAAAAGTACTCTATATAAAATATTTTCAATTAAATATCTACAAGTAAGTTGGTTTTTATAATTTTTGGAGTGCTATAATAATGTGTGAATAATTTTGTCTAAAAGTGGTCAATTTTCGAAAGTTGGGCTTTATGCATTTCAGTGATTTCAGTCTATTTTTAAATTTTCGAGAGTAGCGCTTGGTACGGCAGAACTCGAAACCTTCCGGCTCTGTATTTCACGCACTCTATGTTACCGGTCCTGTTGATGGCATTGAAATAATATTAAAATCGTGGGTTTATCATATATTTAAGTATTTTTGTATTTTACCAGTGCAGTTCTTGAAACTATAAAAATCTCAGGTACGAAGTTTGTGTGATGTAACGCTGTTTCGGGTAATGAAAATTAAGTGAAAAAAAAACCAAACTGGGCGACGCGACGCGTTATATTGTGACAATTTCAAATGATAATCAAATTGCCGAAAAAATGTAAACACGAAAAGCACGATAGCATAATTGCGTGGTTGTTGGGTGCAATAACACTTATCATAAAAAAGATTGATGCAGAAATCTGATAGAGTTTTTTTTGGAACGGAGGACCAACCTGTAAGTATATTAAATGTATTATTTTTTTTTAAGAATGGCGATGTAATATTAGATGAAAAAAACAAATTAAACAATATTGAAGTGACTTCTAACTTATTAACCACAGAAGAAGAACAGAAAAATACAACTGATGAGAAAAAATTTAAATGTCCTAAATGTGATAAGAATTTTTCCTGCAAGCAAAGTTATGAGGTTCATATAAAGGCAATTCATGATGGTGAAAAGCCATTTAAATGTGATATTTGTGAAAGGTAAAAAGACAGTCTAAGATTATATTTTAATAATATATTTTGTTTGTATCCAGGACTTTTGCATATGCTTATAGTTTAAAATATCATATGATTTCCCATAAAAACAAAGATAATCTGGATCAGATTTCTTGTGACCAATGTGATAAAGTTTTCAATCATGTCAGCAGTGTCGTTTACCATAAAGATACAGAGCACGGCAACCCGAAGGTAAAATATTTTAAAAAATTTAGTCAAAAATAAAATATAAATTGTCCATCTCTAGATTTATTTGTAATACATGTAATAAGACGTTTAAGCATAGACAGTTGCTCCAAAGGCATCAGCTGGTACATACAGATGAAAGACCGCATAAATGTAGTGCTTGCCCTCAAGCTTTTAAAACGAAAAGTAATCTGATAAACCACGAAATTATTCATTCACGGCACAAAAGATTTATCTGTCCAATATGTGGGCAGGGCTTTGGACATAAGACGTCGCTGACTATTCATCTAAGGTGAGATTTGAATTGATACAAAAAAAATTGTGTGTGCACTATGTGCGCATAATTGAAGTGGTACTTCTTTTTTTCATTTGTCTGTCTGTCCGTGTGAGGACTCAATTCGGGTACTTCTATCCACGTGCCAAGTTTAGTTCCAATCGACCCATAATTAAGAAAAATCCTGATGATTTTGTCAATTTAGAGGCATCGGTTCGAAACGTCGAGTGCGTTATCCTGTAGCTCGTCCCCAATTATGCCGCAATCAACCCACATTTTTCTTCAATCTTAAATCCTTAGTCCCTCTCTGATGAAGATGTAAACGAAACGTCGCGCGTCGTATCGAATTTTGCAAGGTGGGATCGTGTGCACCGTCGCTCACATAGCCTACCCACCGAATTTGGTCGCGATCGGACGACATAAACTTTTGACGTTTCTTACGTCAAAACTAGCAGTGATACGTGTCGTACACGATCAAGTTGGCCTTGGTCCAATCCATCGATATACCAAATTCCATTTAAAGGTTGATTCTCAGCCCCTTTACATTCCGAGTTTCGGTCCCCCTGGCTCACATAGGGCTTGAGTTACGACGCTCCAAAGACCCGTTAAATCGGACGATTTTTTCGCCATTGATGATGGAGTTTCATAGTACATGAAACGTCAAAATATCATATCACGCTCCATCTTAACCTCCGATCGTTACCACTTTTTCTGACGCTAGCTCGTGTGTCATGACCTTGAATCTTTACTCCCAACGCGCGTAAGGAAGTTTCACTTCAATAGATCCACAAACTATAATAAATATATAAATTATATGATAAATACCATTGGGCAGGTTCAGTGATGGTCAGCGGCTGAGTAGCTGAAAAAACGACTTCCCTGAACGGTCTATTTTGATACACAGCAATAACGGTCAGTCGCTGTACAAAATTCTCTGTGATATTAAATTTAATCATCAGACAACTATGTATTTGACACTTCCCAGTATTACCAACCTAAAACTCTTTCTATTTTTATTTACATGGGCGCCAATTTACTTAACATTGTTTAAATCTTCATACCTATTCAACGTTTTTAGATGGCATGAAGGTACAAAACCTTACGAGTGTGATATCTGCCATAAAACATTTTCGCAAAAGGGAAACTTACTAGAACACAAAAGAATTCACACCGGTGAAAAACCGTTTTGTTGTGATTTATGCGGCAAGAGTTTTACAACCTCATCCCAGTGGAAATTACATCGCAAAAGACATACAGGTTTGTATTAACTTTTTTTATTATAGTACAGGGTGCTGAAAAAATGTGGGGCCAAATTTCAGGGGGTGATTGCACAAAATGAGTCCATTCGTTATTCCAAATGCTTCATTTTTGCTTTAATGAATTTTGCGAAAAACGCGTAATAGCAGAAAAATATGAAGTTTTTAGATAAAAAAATCAACATTTTCAATCCTAAATCACTCGAAAAATATTAATTTTCTGTAAAAATGTTATAGAACGTTTTTACTTAGAATTCATCCTTTTATTGATTTTTGTAATGGGTGATTTATTTTCCACCCCTGAGAAGGGGTGACGCTCACCCCCAGAGTGAAGACGCACATCGTTACTATCTAACTTCTGTTTCTTACATATATCTCTATCAATCTCTATTCACTATTAAAATTTCACGTCAATCGGCGCGGGTGTCAAGAATTCGGAGGTAATACCCTATTTTTATCCTCGCTTACTGGCCTATCAGGAAATATATTATTTTTGGTAATTATCTTAAATACCATATTTTTTTAATTTGCTGCCTGTCCAACTACTCGGGAAAGATTTCGACAGACGACATCCAAAAAAATGACAGAAGACAGATACAGTTCAGGGATCCACTATCAGTGTCGGGAATCCTCTAGTTGAGCAGACTATAGCACTGAAAATCAATGTTATAAATTATAATTTGTTATCAAGTATACTTTTTATTTAAGTTGCTAACTGAAATTTAACTCTTTTAATTTTTTTAGGAAATGTCCCGAGACCTGCAATGATTTTTTTTCTCAAAAAATGTTTTTTTGTTTTTTCTTTTAATGAGATATGAACTAAAAGACGTTATTTAGAATATAAAAGTGTCTGCTAATCGCTAATGTGTTTGTATTAAATTATAATTATACGTCGAACAATGCTTCTTTAACAAATAATAAAATTTTGAAAATGATATATACCGGGTACATCTCAAAAGTGGCTCACCCCTATAACTTTTTTATTTTTTTTCAGATAAAAAACGAGATTTGGTATGTTAGTATATGACATAAATTAAGATTGATTGACGTATTCAATTCTTGTCTGTCACTTCCAGTTTCACCGGAAATGACTACAACTTTTGATTTTTAAATAACACTCTTGGTATTTTTTTTTACTTCATTTGATAGAAAATGATATTCTGAATAGAATGAATAGCATATGTCAACTTTTGACATTTTCAATTAAAAAAAATAGCATTTTAAACTTTAATTTACTTTAATTTAGAGTAATGTAACAACAATTTGACTCGAAAAACTAAGTGTGTGGTGTGTGGTATCAAATTATTCGTAAAAAAATGTTTTGTTCAAAATATACTAATGAACCACCCTCGTCCTATTTGAAAAATTTGAGATATGATTAAAAATACGATTTGGGCATATTTTAACCGGCCAGGACAAGGCACGAAAAACATTAGGCGATCAAATCTATTGTTTCAAGGCCTTGAAAAGTAGTTTTAAAAAAGGAAATGAAATTTCCGAAAGCTTGGCGTATGTAAAGAACTGTTTAATTTTTTGCCTTCAGACAGATAGCCCCAAGAATTTTCTTCTAAGTTTTCTGTTACAATTGATCGGTCAAGACTTCCTCTCTGTATATCCGGTATATATCATGTGATGATATTTATATAAATATTTCATTACATTTTTGAACCCTTTTTTTAACATTCGTCATTTTAGGAGAAAAGCCATTTCTTTGTCAATATTGTCAAAAACGTTTTCTACACAAGGATACTTATAATACGCACATTAGAAGACATTTAAATATTCGTCCTTATAAATGTAAGTTTTGTTCAAGAGCTTTTGCAGAGAACTGGGCTTGTTCTCGACATGAGAAACTTCATTTGGGAGAGAAACGTTATAAATGTGAAACCTGTGGCAAGTAAGAAGCTCATATATCTATTGAAACCAGTTATTTTAAATAAATTACTTTTAGAGCATTTGCTGATGTATCTAACTTTAGTAAGCACCGAAGAATACATACTAATAATTTGGAAAATATTAATTTAATTAATACAGTTACCAATATGGAAATAGCCAAAGAAAATTGCACAACATCTGGCTCAATGGAAGTAGAAAATCTACCTGTTATAAATTCTAATGAAAATACTTTGGTAAACAAAACACAGATTGAAGTAAAACATTATTTTATGGCTACGAACTTCTTCAAATTGTTTAATTTTCAGGAAATTGTAACGTCAAATTTGCAAATCCAAGAAGTGCTAGATAATGAAGGAAACCCTATCAATTTTACAACGGCAGATGGCCAGCTAATTCCCATAGTATCGTCCGACTCTAAAAACCTACAAGGATTGATGCCCGATGGGACTTTGGTTAGTCTAGATATTTTACCAAATCAGATCAAAGATATTGAACCCCAACCGGTAATACATTTGTGCTATTTAACCATTGAATAAAAGATTAAGGGAAGGAGCCTAATAATATTCTTTGTTCATGAATGAAGCTTGATTTTCATGCATCCGTTATCCGTTGGTACGATGGTCCGACGGCGCGGCGCTCTGATTGGTTATAGAGTTTTCGCGCCACTTTTCATTGGTAAATTTTTTACTTCAATCCGGTAACGGAGATTGATCGTACGATAACGGACGTTTTGACAGTTTTTTGACAAATTTAATCTAACCTTAATAAAAATGAAGCCTATCATGAATTCACTGAGGTGTCGTTTCTTGCCACCGTCATTGATATCTTAATTATTAGATATTAATACACCTAGTATTATGGTATTCTGGTTCATTGTCGATTTTTTTAATAAAATAATATTTTTTATCTTATTTCTTATTAGAATGTTCATAATCAAGAGGGCTAGTAATACCAAAGATACCTTTGGTAATACCGTGTTAGAAAAATAAGGTAATTAAGGGCTTATTTTTTCGTATTAATTATAATTTTGCTAATATCTTCGGTTTGAAAAAAGATATCAAGATGCGGTTTTCGCTGGCTTTTTAAGTTTTTTTTTACTATCAGCTAAAGTTACATATACTATCGCATTTAATTTTCTTGAAAAAACGCGCAATGTTTGTTAAATTGTAAGACAGCGCCTCCTAGCGTCGACATTCAAAAGCTTATTATTATTGTTTATAAGGTATAATATAGAGTAAGAAACTCTCTTTTAAACGAGCCCCGTTTGTTGGATTCCGTTCATCCATTCCGGAGTTACTAATATTTAAATAAAAACAGATCTAACCTTCCCCCACCACTTTATTGTGGCAGATAGAGAAAAATGGTTCTAATGAAAAATATTCAAAATTTACTGGAGTTTATGAAGCTATTATTTATAGTACTTCTTATCTAGGCAAAATTGTGTAAAAAGTCCTTTTTCTTATTTTCTATAGCAGTAGCGCCCTCTAGCGGCCGTTCTACAAACTTGAAAATAATTTCCAGCAATTTCTCATGGCTTCTTTAGTTATAAATATTTTTTCCACAAGCTCTATGACTAATAACAGCGTCCAGTTGGCTTGGAAATGACGATCGATGACATTTCCCATATAATTTTACATATAAAATGCCAGCGATCTTCATTTCATAGCCATCGTTGACGCCGTTTTTATTCGATCATACGGTATAATATGTATGTATGTATATGACTAATACTTTCCGAGATACAGCCGAGAGCTATTCTTAGTGGGACACCCTGTACAGGACATCCCATTTTCTGTTTTTTTTATGGGATTTCTCGTTTATGAGTAGAGATACAATGATGCGATTTTCACATTACATTGCTACTTTTTTATCAAACTAAATATGCTACACATATGTTTGTCCTAGCCTCCTTAGTTCCTGAAATACACGGCGAATTTGTGATGCGCAGTAGTAAACAGATGTTGAATACAGATATGATGCGTAGTAGTGTCGCAATGTCTACCGGTAGCCCGACGCGTAGCCGGTACTCTGTTCAGGAGATCATAACAAAAGATATATGAAAGAATCAGCTTTCTTAAAAATATATATTGAGTCTATCCTACTTTATATTCTAACACATTTTAAATAAAATGAAAATCAAGAATTTAAGTCACCTAGATTGAAATACCATCGTGGTTCCCCTAGTTTTGTTGATGTGCTCCTTTCTTAGTTCTTTTATTCAATGTATTTAACATTGTACATTTGACCTACCCATGTTATATTTTTAGATTCAGAGTGAAGAAATAAATCTTCTTAATACCGAAATTCAGTTCCTAGAAAATAACTTAGTTACCAGTCAAGATGATGCTTTATCTCAAGAAAAAACGACTTTTATATCTGAAGATGGAAACGTTTGTTTTATTACATCATTTGATGAAAATGCTTTTTTAGCAATAAGTTAATGCTTTGTAAATAAGTTAAAAATAAATACTTTTTAAATTGGTTTTCTCTACAAGGATATTTCAGTATTATCAAAATGCCCCATATCAAGTGATCTTCATTTTAATAAATATATAGGGTTGTCTGCGAATACATCATTTTTTACACTAATTTTTATTTGTAATGATTTTCTTTTTGGTTTGCCATAGTTTCCAATTCCTGAAATGTCACTTAATCTATATCCAATCCTTTTTGGTAATATCAATATCCTATAAAATAACGCGGTATTTTTAGAGTAGACATTTTATCCCAAATCTCCAATGAGGCAAATAAATGCAGCATTCGATTTAAAAATTAAACAAAGCTATAATTTGTGTAAAAATATATTTAAATCACCATAATATGGATGTATATGACATGGGTATATTTTTAAAAATACACTATACTATGGCATGTATATTCTAAAAAAAAGTTAAGAGTTAAAATCCCAGATAGGAAACTTGATATGGCGCTCTTTTTTGGAATAAGGAGTGACCCTGTATATGAAAGCATAATTGAAACAATTTCTTGCAAAAAAATATTTATATAATTGAAAAATTACAAATAAACAAATCGATAAAGCAATTTAGTTTATTTTACAACCTGTAATATGGTCTAAAAATATAAAAAATATATAGTAATAATCTAAAAATTAAATATCAATGTGCATAAAAGTAGCTTGGTTGGAAACTAATTTGTACACTTTTATAAGGTAAAATTTTGGGTATAGTCATATTCAACTGTAGGTATTACGGATTGCATAAACTTTAAAAATATGATTAAATACATATGAACCCCCAATTGCCCTCCACCTTCAGTTACAGTTTCAATGATACTTTTCATCACTTCTGCATGTCTACAAAAGAAACATATTTAATACAAAAATCTGTTAGGTATGGAAATAACTCAGACAATACCTACCTACAAGGATGTACAGAAGCCATTTTTGGTACACTAAGGTGTGGATGGGACTCCAATGTGACAGTCTTCATAATATAGTCTTTATTCACATCTTGGAAAAATTCTTGAGTAGTTAATGGCTCACGTTTCTATATTTTAAATAAATTCACTTAATGTTTCCTGTATTTATTTAAAATCATATTTCCCTTTACCTCATTGTATCCTGTGAGCCACAACCTAGGTGTTTGATAATATTTATCATAAGTAATATGTAAGTCATAAGTTCGAGTTCTTATAATTTCTCCTTCCTCATGTGAATTTCTAGCTGAATCTCCAGAAGATTTAACAACTTTAGCTACCTATAAAAATATGGGAGTATTTTGATAGGTCTAGTATGGGGCTAAATACCTGATCATCTTCTAACATTCCACTTTCTTCAAACTCTTCCATATCTGCTGCTTCTTCATCATCATCACAGTTGCTGTCTTGTTCTTCACACTTCAATGCTGCTTCTTCCATGCTTTCTGCCTATTTACATGTTATAAGAGATTGTCTTACAAAATATTTACTTAACATTTACCTTCTCAAGGGTCATTTCTGATATTTTGTCTTCAGTTGCTGCTATTTCTTTGTCATAGTGATGAGTATCTACCCAACCATTATCAGCATCATCTGATTCTATAATTTTTTCCAAATCTTCTGAATACTCCATTTGTTCACATCTAAAATAACATACAATACAGAACACACTATAAGATAAAAATGTTTCCTATAACAACCTTCTTGAACATGGAACATTTCGAGTTATTAAAAACTGTTTATTTTTGGGCAAGTAAGGTTTTGTCTTAGACTCATCTCCAGCTGCCCACTGCCAAGTAGGACAGTGATGAACCAAATGATCTCCTGCTGCAACAAATTCTTCTGGTGTTAAGACACCAGTTTCTCGAAATTTTGACTCCTAAAAACCAAACAAAAGAATAATTCAACCTACTTAAGAATAAACAAAGTAAGTACCCACTATGCATAATATTTATTTCTACTTGAAAATAGTAACAAGTGTATATAAATGCAGACTTTGTAGATAAGATTATATGAAGTATATTTAAATAAATATGTTAAAAAATAGCATACTTTTAATAATTGGTAATTTTATCTGGTTACATAAAATATTATTGATAAAGGAGGACCAAGTGAAAAAGAACTACACTATACTAAATAATTGATTACCTTTAACACAGGTGTTAAATATTCACCCACAGCCAAAGCAGTACCCTTCACGGTGTTAAGAACGTTCTGCATGACTGAAAACTAGAAGTCTTATAATTTACAATTTTAAAAAAACAATCCAAACAATCTAAAATATTTTGACATTTTTAATTTAAAACACTGCATATCTATTGATTGGATGTTATAAAATGTCAAACAAATGTCATCAAAAGCTATAAATTCTACGTTTATTTTACTTGGCACATACTACCTTATGCTTCGTGCCCGCTTCTTTTTTAATTTGAAACTCGCATGCCATGGGATCTATTTATTTACACTATGGATCTATCTTTATTACTCTCTAAGATTTTTATATATGATATCATCTATTAGTTCAGTTTGTACTATCAGAAACCTTTGTCAGAAACAAACTTACGAAGCTTACGACTATTATTGTAGGCCCATTGTAGGCTATAAAATAATAGATATAAAGAAAACATGATTGCAACCAGGGGGGTGACAGTGAAATAGGAAAATTGGAAACAGTCATTAGTGTCATTCCTGTCATTCTCCTCACGACAAGTATGGCCGCCTAGACAAGGACAGCATTGTTTTTGTCTAACTATTGTCTAACTTCACAGTTTAGAATTGACAGATTTCAGTTTCAGAGACAACTTCAGATTTTTCTAGAACAAATTAGAAAATATTCGACGCCATTTTAATTCATTCCGTTTAGTTGTGTTTTGAAAGTTCAATTTAATATTTCGGCTGAAATTTATAAATATAAAGGTAATAAAGTATATAAAATATATATTACATGAAGAATCCTGGGGAAAATGACGTTTCTGCAGTAGTAGGTATGTCCCATGCATATGAAAAATAGGTAGTAAATAAACACTGTTTTTACATTTTTTAGATGCAAGAAAATGATGTTATAATCTCTTTGATCGGCGATTTTTTTGAAAATGGAAACAATTTACAGCAAGGTAAGATCATTTTTAACTATAGCCAACATTAGTTATCTCCAATATGTGCGATTTATTATCAATAATGCAATAAATCGGACTGATAATCTGATTATGTTATCCGACTAAAAAGTCTCTTTTTGCTTCTTTTTGATTTATAAGCCAGGTCTCTTTGGGAATAATGGACGCATTTTTTAAACAGTATATTTATATTTTATAACTATTGATATTTTTACATTGTTAATTTTAGTATAAAAAAAAATTGTTTTTCTGTTTTCAGGTTTTTGTATAAGGCTCCCGTTTTCATGTTCTTGTGTCCGTTTTCTGTCCTTGAAGTCTGCGAATACGTGTGTTTATTTACAAATTACTGTAAGTCATGCTTATACCTTAACTAATTTATGTTAAAAGTGCATATAATTAACTAATTGGTATTGAAACAATACTATCCTCTATATATTTATATTTATTTAGTCACGTTGTTCCATATTTCAAATAAATATATGTGAATAAATTATTTTTTGGTTTTATTTATGAAAAGAAAAAATACGAAACACATTTGAACTGAAAGAGGCCCGCCATTGAATACCGGAAACGGAAATGAAAATTAAGCCATCATGTTCTTATCATGTCAACCTGTCAATTGGAAAATTAGTTCTCCAGACGACAACGAAGGCTTTCGGTGGCGTATCGTGTTTCCACGATTTAACACAGAGTTGACACTTCTTTCTAGTTAATTATTTTATGATTGCAACTACTGTCAAAGTCAAATTCATGTAGATCAATATAATCAAATCTTGATCAATATAAAAAAACCTATAGGAATTTTACCTTTTTACGTCTATTGGATTAAGTGGGCGGAAATAAATAGTTCCTGACAGGGATAAATTTTAAATTTAGTATATCAAGGTATTTTTCCTATAAACGTTTTTAAAATGTAAGTCATGGTCTCTATGTATTGAGTCTTTGTATATTATTTGTTCTGCATTAGTGAATGTGAAACAGCTTCTAAAACACAGGAAATTAATAATTTGCAAGTTTCCTCTTATCAATATTGATAAGCTTATCTTGATAAGTGAATATTAAAAAGAGGTGCATTTATCTCCCAATGCCATACATATTAGTAAGAGGTAACCTAGCTGCATATGGGCAAAGATATCCTTGGCGAGTTTTGGTTTCAGGGTTAAAAAGTGCTGATATTGAGCAACTTAACCGTTTTGCTTCAGGGGGATATTGTGACGATTCTACAATTGTTTATATGCAACATCCTTGTGTTATTTTAACTGCCTTGGAAGTTTTAGGTAGAATATTTTTAATCCTATTTGTTTCCAGATATGAAATATCTGCGTACAAATATTATTTTAACTTTTTTAAAGGGTATACAGTAGTAGCTTCTTCCAGTACCAGTGTAAAACAGGACTACAATGAATATATGTGGACAATGAGAAGGGAATTTACAGAACCAGATCCTACAACTGTTTCACCAACAAAAGATATAGAAAAAAGCAGCTTTGAAAAAACAGAAGTATAATTAGTATTGTAGAGAAGACTACTAAAACAAAAAGACTTCACAGAATGGATATACCTACAAATATTTTAATGTCATCAGGAACTTATGCATATGTGGCTGTTAAGGCATCAATTCATGCCCATGATAGTGCAGTATTTGGTTTAAATGATGTTGAACTTAAAGCTCTAGTCAAAAGATTCTCAGACTATCATAAAGATGTTATAAATGGTGTGTTATTAAAGGCAGCTCCTCTTGACGTTGTTAATGCTTTGGGTCAAATTGGGTATCGAGTCGTTGCCACAACTGGCGAAGCTGAAATAGTTTGGACCATGCAAAGGGATCTTTAAGAACTATAAATCATTTATTATTATTAAACTCTATATGTTATGCTGTATTAATAATTGAAAAAAAGGCTGGGGGTATTTTGCCGCTGGGTTAAGAACCAAAAAATACCTTATAGATAATATATAAAATATCAGCGTTTATATTTTTTTGAATAAATGTAAACTCTATTTATACACTTGAATAGCAAAGCAATAACAATTTATTGAGCTTAATAAAATATATCATTTTTGTATTAGAAAATAATGTTATACCTTTAAGTCTGAAAACTTTAAATGTTGATTATTTTTGATATTGGGTCTTCTAATAAATGCTATAAATTATAATAATGGTCTAAAAGGCTCTAACCATATTTTTGCTATATGTGTAACTTCTGTTTTATTTAAGATCTAGGTGTTTCTAGTATAAATATTTGTATCAAAATTTAATCTCATTATTTTCTTAAGTTTATTTTGTGTTTCTGTGACATTTTTTCTCTAGTACATTGTTTCATTAAAAATGTCACATAAAGATGAATTTTGTGAACACAACTGTGGATGTACGAATTATACGGCCGTGCAGTCTTTGGAAGAAATGGATTTTGTAAAAGGTATATGGTATGCAGCTCAGAATGGTGATTACGATAGAGTCCAAAAATTATTAGAAAGTGGAAAGTATAATACTGATCACCGTGATTCTGCAGGTAACTAATTTATCATTTAAAATATTGTAGATGAGGCACAAATTATGTAAGCGGTAAAGAATGATATTTTACTTTTGTATATTTTATCTATATTTTTTGCTTATATAAGAAAGATACTATTTTATTTATTTATTTATTTTAAAGGATATACCCCATTACATTATGCAGCTAGGAATGGACATTTGCAAGTTTGTAAATATTTAGTTCAAAGGGGTTCGGATGTAAATGCAGTTACTAAATGTGGTAAAGCTACAGCCCTGCATAGGGCTTGCACAGCAGGTAGATTTCAAATAAAAATAATGAAGTAAATTAAAATAAAGTATATAATAACTTCAGGTAAGATTGATGTAGTCAAGTTTTTGATCTCACAAAATGCCAATGTAAATCTAAAGGATGCCGATGGAAAGACAGCTTTTGATAGAGCTGTTAACAGTAATCATCATGATATATGCAATTTATTAAAAGGACAGGATAATATAGATGAACAATAATGAAATTTAAACATCCATTGTGTTATTTGTTATAAAATTCAGTAAATTAATAAACCATATATAAAATTTTGAAATTTTTATTATACCTCTTATCACATTTTTCCAATGTTCTAAAACTGTGTAAATAACATCCTCTTAATTCATAATTTATAAAATAGAGAGAACCTACAACTAACAGCCATAAATAATGACGATATCACAACATAAATCACTATTCTATATAAATGTGTACAGCGTTATTTTATTGTCTCATTTTTAAAGGGCTATAACTTTTTTATTTTTTGAAATTGAGGTTTAATACACATTACATAAAATGTTATACACTCAGAAATGTCGCCAGTTATTGGTATCAATATATATATATTTTTAAATAGGACACCCCGGATATTAGTTATGCAATATTTTTTTATTTCAAAAATATCACACATACACTAACAATTTTATTTAAATTTTATATAAGTGTATAAAAATAGGATATATTACGTAAAACTACCGCTAATCTAAATAGCTTATCTCCAAAAATAAAAAGGTTTAAGCCCGTTAAAATGGAAACAAAATAAAAAACTATCACTGCAATAAATAAAGTTCTCATTAATTGCCAAAAGTTAAAATGCTTCAGTTATGGAAAAATACTTATATTAGAATAAATAATAATACTAATGACCTACAAAAAAGGAACATGGTCCATATTTAAATAAACCTAATAAGATTACCTAAATGTATTGACTACTTGTATAATTTTAGGATTTATTTTGTGGTTTATAAAATTAAGAAAATATTTATCACGTTAAAATTGAACTGAATTAATAGCACGGTTTACCATAAACTTTGTTATCTACATAACTTAAAATATAAGGTACACTGTGCTGTTTCTTAGTTATTTGATATTGTTTTTTTTTCAAGATGTGCTGGTGGCAGAATTGTTAATATTTATTTCTAATAAATTTGAATATGTATATTTTTTATGACACTACTGACTAGTAAAATATAATACTAATAGATTTAGTGGAAATTAAATAACTCCTTAGGCTAGAAAATTATAAACAGTTTGATTCCTACTAAAAACTTCAATAATATTTTATATAAATACTACGAAGTTTAGAAATGCTTAATTAATACAGAGATGTAAATGTAAAATACATTACTGAACAATTATAGATCCACGACGGAAAGTTTTGAGTAAACATAAAATGAAAATTGTAGTGTGAGAATTGTAAAACAAAGATAGAAAATAATTCAATAAAATTTTGAATAAATAATAAAAACGATGATTTTCATAAGTCCTTAGAACATTATGGACTTTGCCTATGGCTCCGCCTCTGTTAATTGGCTATTCTTCATGAAACATTTACCTTTAAAAATAGTGCAATATGATCGAAAAAAAAACGGCGTCAGCGATGGCTATGAAAATGAAGTGAAGATCGCCGTCATTTTATATGTAAAATTATATGAGGAATGTCATCGATCGTCATTTCCAAGTCAACTGGACGCCGTTTTTTTTTCGATATACGGTATATAGTCTGTCTGTCCAACGCAATAACGAAAGGATACATGACATTCTTTGAATAAGAACACTAAGGAAGGAGCATATCAAAAATCTTAGGTACACCGCGATGGGCCTCAAATATGGCCGACTTAAATTCCGGTTTATCAGTGTCGTTCTAATTTTATTTAAAAAATGTAAAACTATGATGTAGGGTAGACGTGGGGTAGACTCAATAATTTGTTGTTTTATTTTACGTTGTGAGTAAATGTCGGTAGTTATTAAAATTGTTATAAAAATATATAATTCTAATAAAAATAGATAAGTTATAATAAGTATTTATTAACACAAACATCCGATACGCTACTGAAGCAGGTAAGTCAAATTAACATATCTAAATTCTTTGACATCTAATCTTTGACAAGTAATAAATAAAAGCTAAAATGCTTTTTTAGTTAATTTAAGTGAATTTCATAAATGATCAGTTTACTACACGTATGTATATTATATAGTCACTTACTAGCGAAAAGTTGTTCCATTATTTCACTCAATTTTTGCCGAGATCTACCGCACGCTGCACAACCAACGATTTTAGAGTCTTTTTCGATAAATCGCTATAGTGTCACTGTTAATTTAAGTTCTGCCACAATTTCCATCTAGATTTACTACCTTTATACAACTATCAGTAGTAGAATAAATAATAAATAACATAAAATAAGCTCCGTAAAGACTGACAAATCCACAAAATTTCAAATCAAATTCAAATGTGTCAAATGAATCGTCGAACAGAACTGTCAAGGATCCCCACCCTAGAGTGCTTTTTCCGCCCACCGTGCATGAATACATGGATAGCATTATGCTCCTTCCTTAGTCTTCTTATTCAAAGATGACATTGACAGTTTTCATTTCTACTCACAAGTAAATTGTATTTTCCGTAATTTTTTGAATGTCGTGTGCCAAAATCATTCCTGGCTCGTTGGGCAGTCTTTAGTATACTGTGAATTAACAGTTAACCGGAAAAAAAACGGCGTCACAGTGATCTTTGAAATCAGTGATAATTCCCTTGAGCATTAACTGTAAGATCGAAAAGATGCCGTTAAGTTGGCTTGAAAATAACGATTGATGACTCCATTTATCATATAATTTAAATATAATATGACAGCGATCTTCATTTCCAACTCTGACTCCATTTTGTGTTCCAAAAACTTGTGAAAAATTAACATTTAAATGGAAAAAAGTAGACACGCTAATCATTCATGCGCAAATCTAATAAATAAAAACTAATATTTTTTGAAATAGAAATTTTTAAATCAATTTTTAATAAATGATATAGAGGTCATAAATTGTCATTTCAAACGCCACTTTGACATTGTTTTTTAATCATAAATATACAAGTGACAAATACTCCCAACTATAACTTCACCTTTAGAAAATATAAAATAGACTATTTCGGTATAAATATTCATTTCTATATAAAATAAATATCAACAAAAATATAAATCATTAAAAGAAAACGTGTTTAACAATGTTTAACGGAGCTTTGCAAATTCGAAAAAGTGATTTTTGTTTATCTTAAAATATTTTTACGTGTAAAAACATTTTTTTTACATTACGGATTTTTACACGTTCATCCTCGATATTAACCATTATCTAATCAAAATTTGACGACCTGTGTCCTTAAAATTATAACCTAAATATATGAAACTCGCGACATGAAAAAATCATCTGAAGTTAAAAGACACAGAGAGAGAAAACGTCTATTTTATATTAAAAGAAGTGGGAGCCATTTGTATCATCTAGTATAAAATAAGTACAAAAAGTACTAAGTAATATAGTAATAAATTTGTGCATTTAAAAATTCACTCATAATAAATACTAGAGTTAAACAGTTCTTAGAATTAAAAATACAACTTCGTGATTTGTTTTTAAGCTTTAAAAATAAAAATAAATAAAGCATTTTTACGCTTAGAATTTTGAGATCAGGAAAGTCCAAAAATATCTATTTAAAACCACCCAAATTCGTCCATACATAAATATTTGTGGACACTACTTGGTAGGGGCAGTGTTTTTATTCTATTATGTAGTCGATTTGAACCCATTTTTCGTCTTATTACTATTCTACAAATATCTTTTAAACTCAATGTTTGAAACTTCATATAAGCAATAAATTCATATATAGGATCCTTAGGCCCTCTTCTCAAATTGTCTGGATGTTTAGTAAAGTTTCTAAACTATAGTAAAAGAATTAAAATTTTCACACCAATCTTTCTATATATCCCATACTTACATCAAAACCTGCATATATAATAGTTTTACAAAGTCGCAATGTTCCATATCGATGAGCCATACTTAAAGTATCCCAACATAGTTTTTCTTCTTTTAAATTTACGTCAGCCCCATGTCTTATAACAGCAATTGCTGCACAACTGTTTTCTGCAGAGGGCAAATGTTATTAATAATAAGAAATATAACATGTTTATGAATTTTCTAGTATAGTCTGTGAAACGAATAACTTTGAATTTGACAGTTCCCGCGGGCTTTTCTAGTGTTAATTTTATTAGGTTAGCACTTGGTTAGCAACTTGCGGCCATGCTGACGCAATGCCGTCTCTAATAGAACAGCCTGGAGCGAGATTTATGACGTCACACTAGTTAGATACTACAGATTAATAACTATGTTGTAGAATACATGGGAAATAATTATTCCTCGATTTGTTGGTTTGTATTTTAAAAATGATATAGTTTACATGAAATATACATAATATACAGTTAATAAATACAATATATATACCTATTTATATTAATATGTTTTTCTAGTACAAGCTATCATAATTGGGGTGTATCCATATCTATCAGGTACATTAATAGGTGCACCAGCATCTATAAGTGCTATTACCATCTCCAAGCTATGTTGTATTATAGCTGCATGTAACAAATGTCTTGATGGAACAATCCGTGCACCTCTTGCAAGTAGCATTTTAAGCTGTACAAAAAAATTGGTTGTTAAAAAGTTTATTAGAAATGTACACACACGAAAATATATATTTCTATTCTTACTATATCTTCACATCCACTATGAATAGCTAGTTCCAAAGGAGTTATATCGCCGCGCTCCTCACAATTGACAAAACAGCCTGCTTCGCATAATATTTTTACAGATTCCAAGTCACACTGTCTTACAGCCCAACTTAATGGAGTCCTGTCCTCTGAATCCAGAGCATTAATATTGCATTCTGAGAAAATATTCAACTTAAAAATATCAGATATGGGTATACATCCTATAGGTTCTTACTTGATGCAATTAGAAGCTTGATGATTTCATGATGACCAAGTTTTGTTGCTATATGTAATGGTGTTTGTCTGTTTCTCCCTATTAAACAAAATATAACGATATTCTCCTAGCAAAGTTGACTGGTAAAATCAATCCAAACAAAATAATAGATGTACCAAAATAATTAAGAAGTTAATAAAGTCAATTTAATCTATGAAACAAGAGATTAAACAATAACTTATAAGAAGAATGAGTTGTGTTATTCAATGATTTTTTAAAATCATGTAATCAAAATATATATTTAAAATGAAAAAAGCGTGCTCTAAGGATATAATAAATTAAATAGGAGTCAAAAATGTTGATGATGTCCATATTTCAACATATCACATATAAATATACCTTATTTTCATTTTCATCAGGAGGCATATAATTTAGTAATAGATCTCAGAAAATCAGACTTCAGAAAGAAAAATAATTCAGACACTTACACTTACCCGCCAAGGCATCAACATTTACTCCTTTTTGGATTAAATGTCGCACAATATCAGTATTTCCATAAGCAACAGCTTTATGAATACAGTTATACCCAGTAGAATCATTTTGTTCATAACTTAATTCTCTACCAAAGTTATTTATTAAATAATCTGTCATTTCTAAGTTTCCTATAACAAAACTCTATTCAATTATTAATCAGTAGCTAAATATAAAATAAATACCTGACTGAATAGCATAATGTAAAATACTTTGTCCGTGATGATCCAGTCTTCCTAGGTCTTGTTCTGGGGACACCAACATAATTGAAGTTCGATTTAATATACGAGCATACCACTCATAAAGATTAGTATTTTCATCCTCAACTGGTTCTTCTAAAATTAAGCAATTAGAATAAATAATTTTATATGTAATACCTAACTTACCTATATTAAAATCATTTGTATCATTTACTTCCATGTCCCATTCTAATGCTTCCATACCTTCAGGTGTTGGACCATCACCAAATTCATTGTCATCTTCCCTTATTACAACAAAATATCTAAAAATATTAAATTACTAATGTTTTATGGTAAAATCTATAATATATTACCCAATATTTTTACAGCGCTTTGGATTACTACCATCTAATTGTAAATATTGTGGTTTCTTTTTCTTGTCTTTTGTGTTTGGTGGAGAACTTATATAATTGTGAAAATCTAATAATAATTTAAGTAGAGGTAAATTTCCAGTTTGAGCAACAGCTCCTAAATGAGTCATTCCATTGCGACAAATTTCATTAACACGAACATCTAAAAAACAAACTGTATCTTTAGACAATCTGGCTATATCAAATGTTTCATGGAATATAAATTAGTTTAATACCGCAGTAAAAACGTTCAAAACTATAATAATTCTTAAACAGTATATAATCTTTAGTTCCGCAATACTAAATAAACTCATATCAACCTTTGCTTAATGTGATCACTTTCAGGTCGTTATCATGGATTGCTTTCATTAGACGCTCGTTTGATCCCTCCATCTCGAGAAAACTTTTCTACCTTAAGATATTTCTAGGAAGCACCATTTTTAACTACTCACAGTTTTCATTTACTAAAACTTAAAAAAAGTATTTTAAAACAATGATAAAATTCATTTCCAAATTTTTGACAACAACTTGACTTCTTGCCATAGAAGATAAATCACGAGAATTTGACAACTCAAAAAGGGATCACCCAAAGGGATTACCTGGTCTTCATCACCATTATTCTAAGGATAGCTCTTTTATAGTTAGGTATTTATATTTATTCTATGGAGTTATCATCATATATAAAAAAGATTTCTACATTTTCGACATACTGTACCGCTTTTATTTAATCAATCGAGGTCATATACCTATTTATACAAAGTATTTATATAAAATATTTCAACATTTAAGGATGTTACAACACAGATTACAACATTTATTTTAATTTATATACCTAGTTTAATTCAAATAAAAAGGTGTTTATCTTGGCCAAATTCATTTTTCCCCTATTTAGATTTAGTTTTTCGTCTCAGTAAATTTCTTTTAAGAACAATAATTCTTATTTTATGGGAAAAGGATATGTAGGAAATAAAAAAAATATAGTAAATTAAGATCATACAATTTAATTATGAAAAAATAGTACACACAAAAACCAATAATGTTTGAATAAAATATCAAATCTGCACAATAAAGAATTATTTTGAAAATGTTACTGAACAGGCTAAACAATCAAATAAAGAAAATTATTATTTCGAAATATAACTAATAACTAAATAATGGGTATGTGTAGTGTACCGAAACAGTGAACAGAAGCAAGACTGTGAGAATTCTAATTAAATTAACAATATTTTAGGTCCGACTTTTGTGATAGAGCGTCTATTAATGGATTGTTAATAATGTTATTAATCAGAATATTTTAACAGCTTCCATAATCCAAAATCCCAAAAAATTATAGGATACTTTTACCATTCATATGTTACACATTGCCCTAAATAATATATTAACTTACTTTGGGTTTTCTTATTACCGATTGTGAACCGTCCTAGAACTGTGATACGCATGCTCAGAAGCAAATATGTGGAAATGTTTTCATCTTCGCATGCGCTGTAGAGTTCTAGGATACTTCAGAATCGTTAACAAAAAACCGAAGAAAGTTAATGTAAATAAATATGACCTTTTAAAAAGTTTTATGAAGTGGATTTTGAATTTAATCAGTTAAAAACATTTTTTTGTAATTTTCTAGATTTTTATCTGTCACCATACAAAGCCCACTTGATCATATTGTATTTAAAATACGTCGAATAAGAAATTTGTTTACCAATTTAGTCATTTTTAGAAAATTTAAAATAAAAGAGCAAAAATTTTTGCATGTCCACAATTTTTTTGCAAGGCAAGCCTGTCAAAACCATTCATTGTAAATGCCCTTAAGAGACATGTCATCACAAAGAAATATTCTTAATGAAATATTTAAGTTTTTCTTCTTGTATTGTACATATTTCCAAATACTTAGCAAAACTTCCATCTGTTGCCGCACTCGTTGCATAACACAAACGTTGTCATTGGTTCGTCGGACGATCTTGTTTGAAGTTGATTATAGGTGCAGTTGCGTTTCTTGCATTTGCCACATTTCAGCATGTCTGTTTTAGTGCCTATAATTAACCATAATATAAATATTAGATATGGAAATAAAGTTTATATTGAAAAATAACGTACCCTGGGCAGTAGCCAATTGTGCATCGTTTATAGCTTCTTTGTTGAATTTGTCTCTCAACTGTTTCATATCGTCATTTGCCATTTCCTCGGCGGACATTGTTGCCAATCTACAAAATATTAAAAGTAAAATAACGCACATACAAAAAGAGCGTCAAGTCACATCATAAATACTGATCAGTGACATTTACTATATAATTTTACATACAGGGCACGCCAAAAACTTGGGGAGAATTGGCAAAATTTTTATTACCGAGTCAAAAAAAGTTTATTTCGGCGTACCCAATAAAAAAATGGTTTTCTGATAACCTTTCAAAACAATATTTAAAATATGGTATTTTATTAGTCTTTGCATATTTACATATTTATGAAACTTATTATAAATGTACAATAAAATTTCAAAAATCTTTTTACTTTTTTCGATATTTTATCACTTAATATCCCATCCTTTGCATATTTGATAGAATTTTTTGTAATTTGCCACCATAACAATAGTTGATTTGGTTTGAACATGAACATGTCAAAATTATTTTTTTGTTAATGGACATGCTGAAACAATTCCGCGCATTATCTTTTTTTAATACCTCAGTAACAATACAGTTGAGCGTTGGAACCTTTGGTGTTTCAAACTGCAAAATAAAACACCAATTCACCACAATACACCAAAACTCTTTTACACTGGACGCGCGTTTCGCTAACCAAGTTAGCATCATCAGCAGGTGATTAAAACTAAACTAATATCTACAAATATAGGTGCTACCTTTATATAGGCGCTCAGTTGGCACTGAGTAGGCGTCAGAAAGGTGGAAGAAAACTGGAAGGATTGAAAGGAAGAAATTGGATCCTTATCTCTGTTGACGCTCTCATGAGTCAAATTAATAAATTTAAAGATAATATGAACAGAGATAACGGTCCACTTCCTTCTAGTTCTTTGTTCCTATTGCTCTAGTTTCGGTAATTAATTGTATTAGCGTAACTAGCAATTTATCCTGGGGTGGGCCTTAAATAATTTAAAAAAACACATTTCTTGAATAAAACGTTTACATGAATTTCTCTATCAATAAATTTCACAGACTTGGTTATCAAACCGTGTTCCCGTAGATTACTTAAATACCTACAAATTTTCTAAAAAAATAAAAATTAACACATGTTTTGTTTGTACAAACAAAACTAGAAAACGTCATTTTTACTGCATCACAAGCAAATAAAAATTAATACATAGCCAAAAGTCATAATTCAGGATTCCTCTGGGGGGTGCCCAGCAGTACATGGGGGGAGGGGCACCCCTGTAGTTATGCCAATGATTAATTGGTTGATTTTGACTCGCTTGGCTAGTTCTGCCACGCCTACTTAGTGCCAACTGAGCGCTTCTATAAACGCTCAATTTATAGCTATTAATTTAGTTTTAATCATTTGCTGATGATGCTAACACTGTTAGCAAAACACGCGTCTTGTGTAAAAGTAAAGTATTTTGGTGTATTATGGATAATTAGTGTTTTATTATGCCAGCTCAATACATAATTTTTTTTTGCCATTTGTTACAAACTTAATGAAACACACTGTATAGAAGAAGTGTGCTTTGATTTTGACAATTAAAGAACCTAATTTAAATTCCCATAAGAACTGTTTATTTGTCACTATACAAAATTACTGTATATGGTGTGTTCAAGAAATTTGTACAAAATATGTATAACATAAAAAAATATATTACTAACAAGTTTATTGCATAGGATTTTTCTAATTCTAGTAAGTTTTAAATCCAAAGAAGCAGCAAAAAAGTAACAAATATTTTTAAGGATGTTTATTTATATACCGTGGACATAAACTACTTATTTTGGAATCAAAGTAGTCACACAGCTTACACAATTTACCTCTATCCAAAAGTACTTTGTTTATCCGTTAGAGGGCATCAAATTAAAAAAAAATGCCACCGCGCATACTTTTTGAGGAAAAAAAATATTTTTCCAAAGCTGACTACCAAAAATATTTTTTGTCACATCAAGCTATGTAGGCGCATATAATCTAGTATGCACTAATAATCTAATTGGCGAAAATATGGAATTTTGTGTTGGTATCACAAATTATATTTGACAGCAAGCTTCAAATAAATTTTAAGCCCTCTAACCTCTCTAAATTGTGCCGAACTAACTTATTTTGATTCAAAAATACATAGTTGTTCCATGTCCACGGAATATTGGGACACCCTGTAAAGAAGGAAGCTTCTTCAAAAGTAGAGTTTACTTAAAATAGATATATCGACACCGTGACCCGATATAAAAAGAAGTAATAAAATATAAGGGTTTTTTTTCAAACATTTTGTTCAAATTTCCGAGTTAATTTTATATATGGTTAATTTAGATTGTCATTAATTCCAGTACCCTATGATTAGTTAATTTATCACTCAGTTAATGCTTTACATTAATTATGTATAGCACGTTTGTGTGAAATATTATAACTGTTCTTATTCACGTATATTGGTAGTAAGTAAATACAGGACTAAAGTTAAAAAAATACTTAATATATTATTGTAGTAAACTGTGCCTAAAAATAACATCTAATTTTCAAATTATATAACTTTCTTCTGTAAATTTTTATCTTATTCATATTCAAATGACATTACTCTTTTAAATTTTTTAAGCTCCTCTGTATAAAAATTAATATTCTTAAATTTTGACTAGAATATTTGTGGTTCGCTGAGGTGCTTAAAATTTTATCACGAATAAAAATCTGTCAGAAACTTTATAAACTTTTTCTGCATAATCAATATAAATTTCTTGAAAGCATATTACTTTCTACTAGAGCAATTTTTAGTTTTTACCTAGTCGCTCCAATAGCGCCGATTCTAAAATTGGTTCTTAGAGTTGGATTTTTAGGATCTTTTAAGTTAGCAAGTCTAGATCTGATTCTGTTTTTGTATCTCATATCTGTATTTTTGAATTCAGCGAATATAGCTTCCTCTAATTCTTGTGCAAGTTCGTCCGCACTAGCACAACCTTAAAATAAATATTTAATTAAACAAATTTCTTTCAAATTACAGCAATTCACCTTCAAAATCGTCTTCCTTAGAATTTGTCTTTATAGCAGAAGCCAACATTTCTCTACATTTTAATCTTACAGAATCAGTTGTGTTTGAACTTGGAGGAAAAGAACTCGGTAACTTTCTATCTTTTTCTCGTTCCTTTTCTTCCTTTTTAGGTTTTTCTTCCTTTTTCACCTTTTTACTTTCTTTACTATCAGAGGAAGAAGACGATTTATTACTTTCTGAATTAGATATAAACTTCTTCCAGTTCTTAATTAACACTTTAGCCAAAGTAATTACTTCATCGTCTTTGCTTGATTTACGAAGAGCATTTACAGTCATACCAATTCTTGTTTTTGTTAAAACGTCTAGGTTTACATTTAGACTTTGTAGTTCCTTAAGAAGGTCCAAAGCCTGTTCTTGTCCCTATAATGACACTATTTCAATATATGGACAAAAATAAAAGAGCATATCATAAAATATAATTAATAAAAAAGATGCAAAATGCATATTATATTTGTTGTAAGTACATTTTTAAATTAGAAATTTCTAATATATGTCCATTGAATTGCAATTTAATTTTTTATGGTTCTATTGCAGTATAACGAACTGAGTTTAAACTTGTAATGAATAGAAATCATTTCATGTGACTACCGTAACACAATATTTTGTTACTAACAAAACACACGAGAATTACACCTACACTGCCATCATCTGATGTCATTTTGCTCAATTTTTTTTGAATTTTCATTACTTCCTCCTCGACACTCATTGTTGTTAATTTGGATCTTTAAATAAAATCCTGTGAAATCACCAAAATCTCTATTTTCCAAAAAATGGAGATAAATACGCACGACCTAAATAAATGGAATGGAATTCGAGAATGCTGAATGACGCTCCATTGACGCTCTCTTTGACAGTTCCCGCTTCATTTTTATTTTCATAAATTCTATAGTACCCAGAGATATATAGCACCTTGTGTCTTCTAATCATATACGTTTAATGGGTAGTAGTTGCTTGACTGCGCCCTGACTGCGCCAGACGCCAGACACCTGGCTATAGCAACATTGTAACGTAAAAGTTCCAATCATATATAAAATTATCAGATTGATCAATTTAAAATTTTACAGCGTTTTATCTAGGCAAATCTAGGTTTAATGCGATTAGTTACTTATTCTATGGTTATATATAACGTATGTAAAAAACGAGCGTGTTAATCAAAGGTGTTAACAATTTAATTGTATATGATGATGTCAGGTAAATAATCATGTCATGTCATATGCATCATATGTACTTAGCAGAAGTATTTACGATCTACATTTCGGCTTCTGTGGCAAGCTTTCCCACTACCCGCTAATAATTCAAATTTTGAATTTATATAAATTTAATACTGGTATATTTTTTTATCGAAATTATAAACTATTGTGTAAATAGAAAATAATGTTCAATATTTTCGAAGAATTTGTAAAAAGAAACCCTATAATAATGAGGTGCAGTTTTATAAATTTCTGTCTTGAATTGTGTTTATTAACGACACTTTGTGATTACGATTTGTAGATTTTAGCACTTTACAAACGGTAGGATATTTTTTGATGTTACTTTTTGCCTCATTATGTTATTTTAGCTCCAATACGCTGAGTGTATAATATGAAAAAGACTTAAATCTACACAAGGTGCGTTTATTAATTTTCTTAGAAAATATTCAACTTAGCACATATAAAATATTTTACAGTTAGATCCATCAAAATTGATAAAAATATTATATTATATCTTATAAACTTATGCTACTTTAATGGTTCCACTTGGTTTCGCTACCCAGAAGACTCCTCCATCTTGTGCAACAGTTGCGCTGTAAAGAAAAATTATAAATTATTCTCAAATTAATTATATATAGTTGTATAAATAAGTCTAATGTCAATAGAAATAAAAAGATTACTTACTAGACGGTGTATTTTCCGGGAGTTTTTGGAGCTTGCCAAATGAATGTAATATCTTTCTTTGGTTCCTTGTTTTTGTGAGTAGCGCTGCTCTGTAAATAATATTAAGGTTATTAGATAGAGACAGTGCATGCATGGTTTATATAATGTTTTGGAAACTTACTCCTTTGTTTCCGTGGCAGTCTATGGCTTTGAAGTATTTGTCGTTTCCGGGTATGGGGAATGTTCCTACAGCCTTATTTTTTTCGTTTCTAACTTGCAATAATACTCCTATAACATGATATCTATGTTAAAATTACAGATAAAAAAAAACAAAACAAAAAAACGACATCGCAGCTCTGATCGCAGCTAGATTTTAGAATGACAATGACATAATGACATAATGATTTCTGTTGTCCTGTCCTCTATATGTCATTATAGTCATTATTCGAGAATTAAAAAAAGACACATTTCTTCAATTTTTGAGAAGTTTTTATGTTCATTTTTAAAATGATATACTCTAATCTATATACTATAATCTCATTTATGGAAAGTCTTAAAAAATGGGACAGTATATTAACATGTCGCTGAAAGCTGTTCGTTTATACAGGATTTCAAAAAAATTGTGTATCTAACTTAGGTGGTAATCACAAAACTTTAATCTATTTTCGTATTGTAACGGAATTTTAAATTGTCTTTATTTTCGAGAAAATTTAGTCCAAACCTAAGGAATATTTTGGTGATGTTTGACAATCAAAATCTTAAAAATAAAGAAGTTGTCTAAAAATGTGCTATAATTCGGATATAGTATAATCCTTTATCTTTAATTTCCTTCTTCATTTGTGTAAAAATACCTAGCCAGTTTTACATAAAACGTTAAATGCCGAACGCTTATTTTGCTACTTTTTCGGTTTACCAATGTTCTTAAAAATAAATAAATAAATATATTATTTTTATTTCACCTTTCGAGGTCTGTAATTTCTTGGGGAAGCATTTTAGGGCATATGTTCATAGGAACTTTTTGTTTTATTTTTATCTGTAGAATCGCCCACTGAAGTTATAGATACACTATTTTTTTGACATCCTGTATATTCCGCATATTATTGTATCAGCATATTCTGCAGATAAAAATAAGTAAAAAAGTTTGTATAAATGTATGTCCTAAAATGCTTAGTTTCGGAGATACAGGGTGTAGAAATTTCATTTTTATTTCGATTTTTTCCAAATAATTTCTGAAGTAAAGTCAATATTTGGATGAAAATTGGTGTCTAGGAGTTTGTTGACATGAGAAATTTGATTTTGATGTCAATATGACTCCTACTTGTAGGGGGCGCCACCTACATATTTTTTAACTGATTCGAAGAGTAGTAACTTTTCGTCCGTACCTGTATAAAACTACTGAGTAAAAAAAATATACATTTACCATATTTTTTACGTAAAAAAGGTCTCTTGGTAAAAATAGCTACGAGTAATGGTTCTCGAGATATTTGGAATCGAAATTATCAATGCCTATCATTATTGAAATAAATTAAACATGTTCACTAAATACAAGCTAAATACCGTATGATCGAATAAAATGGCGTCAGCGATGGCTATGAAATTAAGATCGCTGTCATTTATAATATGTAAAATTATATGGGAAATGTCATCGATCGTGATTTCATAGCCATCGCTGACGCCGTTTTTATTCGATCCGGTAGTTATTAGACTGAAATCATAAATTCAAATGTTTTTGTGCCTAAAGTTCAACAGAAATAGTTTTATCATAATTTTTTAATCACAACTTTGAAATGTTTTTGTGTCAAAAGATTAACAGATACTGTTTTATCATTTTTTCGCAGAAAAATTTATGATTAATTTAAAAAAATAAAAATTTCCCAAATTTATTATTTCAGTCAAATAACTATCTACGCAACGTGTTTATTTTTTGTCAATAATGACTATTTCCATTCTAAATATCTTGAGAACGGTTGCGCGTAGCGATTTTTGCCAAGAGATATTTTTTATGTAAAAAGTCACGGAAATGTATATATTTTTTCACTCAGTGGCTTTATACAGGTACCGACTGTGGTACCGACTAAAAGTTATTACTCATCAAAACAGTTAAACACATATACGCCCTCTACAATTTGACATTATCATGTCAAAAAACTTCCACCAATTTTCATCCAAATATTGACGTTATTTCAAAAATTATTTGGAAAAAATCAAAATAAAAATGAAATTTCTACACCCTGTATCTCCGAAACTAAGCAATTTAGGACGTACATTTATACGAACTGTTTTACTTATTTTTATCTGCAGAACGCTGCCGAAGTTTCCGGAATACAATTTGGACCACCCTGTATAGTTCAAATTACGTTACTTTTAAATTAATCATTCAAAGGTTAAATCATTGAATTAAAGAACTCTAGTTCCGGTACAACAGGAAGTCCGGAAGTACTACGATACTGAACATTTACACACACCGAAAACAGTACTGTCTCAAATATTTAGATCATTGGGTATTATTTATTGAGATTAATTATAAATATAAATTATACCTAAAAAGAACTTTCCGCCAACTTTGATCTCGACTTCTCCTCCAGGTCCAACTTCTTCCTTATTAATGGTGATTTTGTAAGGCATTGTGGATTTTTGCGGATCCACAGGGTGCTTGGGCAACATGTCATCGCACACCGATAACGGAGCTCCGGCAGAGAAGCCCCAAGCAGTGGCGGCGAACGACGCAACGAGGATTACCAATTTAATCATCGTGTAATATTTTATCTGAAAAAATTTGCATATGATTTCGAGACAGTCCTACGCAAACACTGCTTGTTACTAAAATTAAGGTGCAAAGTTTCACTAATTTATGAATTACATGTTTATTGATTTATTCAGATATAAGTATATGTTTAAAGATTGCATATTGCAACAGAGTTTTGGTAGATCGTTTATCTCTTGAGGTGACAGGATTTTCGTAAATAGTAAGAGTTTAGACAGATTTTTTGGGTCGGTAAAGGTCAGTAGCGGCTCGTGAGGAAAAAAATGATTGTGGTGTGTACGCTCACCCCTTTTTTGTCTATATATACAGGGTGACTACGTATTTATGGAATCAAAATAAGTTCATTGGACACAATTTACCTCTATACAAAAGTGCTTCGTTTGTCCGCTAGAGAGCATCAAACTTTAAAAAAACAAACACAATTTTTCAGATATTTTGAGAACAGTTATTCTGATTTGAATTATATTTTGGGTGTCTATGTTTTGGCAAGTGCTTTAACATTTGGCTTTCACAAAAATTAAGGAAAAGTACGGAAAGGGTAAAAACTACCTCCGCACCGAAACAGTATACACGGTGGCGTTTTATTACAAGAGACAAAAAATGTAGTAAATACTAGAAGAACAATTTTACATAAAAAATCGGTCGTCGGTCGAGTTGAAAAATATTTATACTAAAATTTATGTATGGGTGGGGGTAATTTTCACCCTTCCCGTATTTTTTCTTGATTTTTGTGAGAGTTAAATGTTAGAGCACTTAGTAAAACATACACACCCAAAATCTTCTTCAAATCGGAATAACGGTTCTCCAAATATCTAAAAAAATGTGTTTAATTTTTCAAAGTTAGATGCCCTGCGCTAGAGGGCAACCAAACGCAACCTCTCGCCACCAAACCAAACCAAGCACTATTGTATAGAAGGTGATAGAAGTTAATTGTGGCCATTGAACTTATTTCGATTTCAAAAATACATAGTAGTTCTATGTCCACGGAATATTGGGACACCCTATACATAATTAAGTACCTCTCGGGACGCTACTGGACCTTGGATTTTAGTCTAGTTCTAAATGATATTTTTTATGATATTTCATTATATTGTTATATATATTTGTGTATATTGTTTAATATTTATACGAGTATAAATACGTTAAGTTATAAGTTGTTTTATTAAAAAAATCGCTATATGTCTGATATTCATTAACCTTTTATATGTAAAATGAAAGACACTCTCCCCTACCGCATATTTTAGTTCAGAGATATATTATAAATAAAAAGAACTTCGTACTGTAAGTTATGCATTTTCCACCAATAACAAAGGCAGTTCTTTCGTCATTAATATACTGTATAATTAGTTTAGCCTTAGAAAATCCTTTTCTACATGAATATAATGATACTGCCAGTCATTACTATTAAATAAAAAATAATGACATTATAATAAATTTGCATATTTATAACTATAATTGTAAAAAAACTAAGTGTTAAACAGATAAGATTTTTATTGCGCGGTTTCTTACTTCAAAAACTACACATAGGCAAAGATATTTGATATTTTAATTAACAATTAAAATATCAATTAACTAAATGAATATAAAGAGCGTTATTAAAACATAAAATGAAAAAATCGAATAAATGTACCTTTAAAGAATCAAAATTAAATTAATCACAATGTTAGTAGTAATATTAATACACACATTAAATACAATGTGATTAATTAATTATAAAACTTTTTGATTATGCTATCATAAAACTATTTTGAAGAGTGCTTTGTATAATGATTAAAGAATGACTAACAATTCTTATGAAAACTTACATTTGAATTTGTTAAACTTATAAAATTAAACCCTGTTTGATAAAACATATCAAACATAAACCTTTTTGCTTCATACAGTATTTACTAATTATACCCATTCAAATAAAAGTTTAAACACCTCTATAATTAATTATGTTAATTATGTACTATAATTAAATAATTATAAATTCTTTATATTATCATAATTTCTTTAAAAATTACAAAAATATCAAAACTTTTAACAAGAAAATAAGAGTAAATAATTTGAAAAACATGAATATACACTCTACTGATGATTTTTTTTCTGTAATATATAAATCGTATACATACCTGCAAAAACAGATTAAAAATTCAAAAAATCTTAGACCCCGCACTGGTAGTGGCCCGGCAAACTTGAAACTGGCTAATAGCGGCCAAGAATTGAGTTTACTTTCAAATCCACCGAGTACCATTGGAAGGGGTTCTGTAGCACCATAAGTACTAATTAGTCTTATTACACAATAAGATTTAAACACATTAATTAAGGGGAATAAATATCTTAGAAATACTTGTCCTTAATGTAAATTAGTTGAAACCGATATGGATTAAATTTGGAAGTTTTATACTATGTTTAAAAGATAAATGTATGTAGTAGCCTTATCCAGCTTATTCAAATACTCCGAAAAAATAACTTAAAAATGTTACTAATCTAAATTTGGAGGAAAATAAAATGATATCTAAATTTGGATGAAAAAAATATACAGAGAGTGGGTCTTAAATAAGTGCAAATATTTTAGGAGTTCATGAGGATATTTCAACCCCAGAAACATGTATGTATATGAATTTTTTTCGCAAAAAATGGATTTTTTTAAATTTTTAGTTAAAAAACATATTTTGATTATATCGCACATACAGGGTGGCGCACCTCATTCGCCTTGGTTGATTATACGAAAACGGAAAGATGTAGAAACAAAATATTTTATGGGTATATGTGGGGAGACAATGTGCACAATTTGAAATTATTTTAAAATATACAGGGTGTCTCAGAACTAAGATCCATACCAAAGTTATATTTTTTCTTATAGAACACCCGGTAATTTATTTAATTTTTGGATTCTTGAGCTCAAAAAAAGGAATTTATTATAAGGGTTAAATATGTTCAAAATCTTTAGTTTATGAGATATTTAAATTTGCGTGCTACAATAGAATAGATTATTAACACCCTGTACATTACTTTTCAGAATTAATTATTGTGCTGAGTTTAAAGGTAGAGAAATAAACCAAAAACCAAACATTTTAAACATATACCTTTTTTTGGGCCCAAGATTATTCCAAAAATGAAATAAAATACGGGGTAAGAAAAAAATATAACTTTGGTATGAATCTTAGTTCTGAAACACCCTGTACATTTCAAAATAAATTTAAATTGTGCACATTACCTCTCCACATATACCCATAAAATATTTTGTTACTACATCTTTCCGTTTTCGTATAATCAACCGAGGCGAATGAGGTGCGCCACCCTGTATATAGGTAGTAGATTAAATTTACAATTAGCTCTTTGAACACCCTGTATGTGACATATCTAGATAAGTATTCTATAAAAAATCACAATCAACAATTTTTTGGTGACTAATTTTTAAAAAAAGCATTTGTGAATTTGGTTCAACCTATATAGAGTATCTGTCCTATATAGAAGAAAACATTCAAGATTTAAATTTCAGAAATTGAAATTCAATTTGAATTTGTTAAATTTATTCAAGGTGCCTAGTGCCTATTTTGCCAGCGTATAGTAAAAAATATTTTCATTAAAATTAAAATATTTTATAGAGTATATATATTGTTAAATGTATAGTTTGTCCAACATATTGAGTGCGATAGGGTTTATAGGTATAGTTCAAAATATGGAAGGTAGAGGTAGTTTAAAGGTCCAACAGAAGGATCCCTGACAATGACAGTTGTATCTGTCATTTTAATTCAGAGGCAAATTTAATTTTCTGCAATTTGTTTGATATCGTCTGTGAAAATATTCCCTGTCTCGGTGGACACACTTTATAGTTTATGCCTGTACTATTTACATCACCCTATATATTATTCTTTTACTAAATTGAGTTAATACAAGAACTTTTTTTAAAAACTGGAAAAAGATCAGAAATATTTACTGAATAATTGCGTTAAATAAATATATATTATAAAATGTAATGTTAAATAAACATTGATTAATAAGAGAAATGTTAATGCTTTTAACGTATTTATTTTGACGGGGTGTAGAAAATACAAAGACGAGGACAATACCATCCATCTCTAACAATTTTTTTTGCATATGTATTAAGTATGTACCTTTAAGAGTTGTATTGTATTTTTAATTTTTGGTTCAAGGTTCTTAATGTGGTTACTACAAGAGTCAACTAATCTATAGATCAGTATCGTTTAGATTTACATATACATACGTATTAGCACTGTATAGAGAGGTATACCATATTTCCTTAGAGTATATATCTCGTCTAATTTGTAAGATTCCCATATTCTGGTATTGGTATATAGGAATTGTAGAAGAAATCATAGAAATAAAAATAAGTAAATAATCATTTTCAATTTTTATAATTTTATTTCTAGTATATTAATAGTTTCTACTATGGTAATGGTACCTTATATTTTACTGGTACAGAATAATATATGGTGTGTAAGTTTGAGCTCTGTTCTGACTTCTTATGAGACTTGCGCTTTGACTGCTGACATGTGTACGAGTACAGGCGCGGCAGGTGAAACGCGAATACTCCAAAAAAGTGAAGATGGCCAGCTGGTTGAAAGTAAGCTGTGATACGTATATTCAATATTTTGAATTGAAATTATTTATCTTGAAATAATATTTTGCATTAACGTGAAATGGATAGATATAAAAAATAAGTGTAGGTACATCAGATTTATCAACGCTGAGCTACTTAAATGTTAAACAATATGAACGAAATCATGAACATTTTAGTGTTTAAATAGGAAAAGCAACAATATCTTAAATCTTACAATATCGTCATTGAAATATTAAATACTTTCATTTTTATTACATTGAACAGTTTAAATGTATTTTAAGTTTTTTTTAAGAACCTCTACAAGGGGTTATAAAAATTTAAATATTTTAAGCGGCCTTTTCATTACTATTAAAAACAATAAATTGTCTTTTAGTAATTATTTGTTTAACTATTCCTTCTTTTTTATACTGATCATTTTTTGAGAAAAACTCATTATTAATGGGTACCAAAGTAATAATCTTTGTACGACAAGAATGTAATTATATAGTTTCCGCAATTATTAAAAACAAATTAAAATATTTAATGATAGAATGTTTTCATTTAAAGGAATTAAATTGAGTAAATACCTACGTAATATAACATGTAATTTTTATTAAGAATATTTATATATTTAACGCTAAAATAGAAAAATATATATTTCTAGTTTAAACATCAAGTTAATGATGAACTAAATAATGAAAATAAATAACAAAAAATGAATACCATGACTAAACATTTAAAGCGATTGTTGGCTTCATCTTTATAGACAGTTTTTATGTCTATTTTACCTTGTAATTTAGTTTGTTCATTAGCCCAAGCCAACCTTTTTTTCTAATCCCCAGTAAGGTCAACCACAAATCAGATTGGTTTGTACGGTAGATATCAATGTCTGTCCAAAACCCAAAGCATTTTTTAGGTATTTATAATTAATAGTAGATTTTATAATATATTTTTATTTTATATTATCTTATCTTTGCAGTCCAATTACCAATATCACATTTTTAAATGTATTTAATAATATATAAAAAATTAGTTATTCAGAGTACATTTTTACATATTTTATAATCCCCAAAAAATATTAAGTCCAATAAAATTCAAACAGAAAAATATGGCGTTATAGTCTTTGCCTTATACCAGTCTTCATACTAGTTAGAAAACATATTTATTAATCCAGAACAATATAAATTCTAGAAATACAATACTTGTTTTTTAATAACTGTACAAGGAAAGGAAAGCTATTTGCAAATTATAATCATATATATACTTTGAAGGACTTTATTTCTTTAGGAAGTAACGTGAGTCTAAGATAGTTGTGTGTAAATTGTATGTACTTTACATACATATATCCTCAATTACTGTTAAGAAGAGTTAAAAAAATATTAAACCATGCCACCTTATTTTATAAAATTTATATTACTTTTTTTAACACAGCAACATAATTATTTATATAATATACAGGGTGTAAATTATTTTCCCAGTCTAACAAAGGCTTTAAATTTGAATATGGATTTTGTTTTGGACCATAAATTATATCTATATTAGCAACATTTCTAATTAGATTTAGATCAGCATTTATCTCAATTTCAGTATAGGCAGTTAACATTAAAGGAACGTCACTATAATACATTAATGAGCTTAAACTATTTTTCCAACTATCATTTTTACTGTCAACAAATTCGTGTAAACCACTATTAAATGCTATCACAATGTCAGGTTTTCTTAATTCAGATATTTTTTCATGATACAGACATTTGTAATACTCTGCATTTATATCTAAATTTTTATTTTTACAATTATTACAAAGTTCATTTTTTACATTTTTAAAAAAATAATTTTGAAAGCATTCTGGTCCTACAAATATAAATGTAATTTTTTCCAAATTTTGTATATAATGAATAAATGTCTCTGTAATAAAAATCCAGTTTAAACTTAATTCAAAAATTGAGGCACCTACTAAATGAACTACTAATGATTTATCATATATTTTACGATTAGTAACAACCTTTCCATGTTCCAAGCCAAACAAAATTGTTAGACCGCTTAATATTTCATCACAACTATTTATAAAATGTAAATCTCTATTTGATACTGAGGAATCATATAGTGATGTGAGAAAATTTATATCTTCTGGAATACAACTAATTTCATCACTAATTTTTTTAGATTTTAAAACAAATAACGGTGTGTTGTTATAAAAGAAACAATCTAAGTCTAAAGACAATCGGAAATCCTTGCAAAAAATTTTATGGTGGGTTTTATGTTTATCTTGATGGCCTTTAGAGCAATAATATTCTGTTAAACAATCTGTACATGGAAATACATCTTCTTTGCAAAAACACACAGCACAGTATATTGGAAACAGCCACATTTGTGATTCATACTGTTTTAATTGGCGTCCCAGTTTATATTGCCAATAACAGCCTCGTCGTTTTTTATAATTTAAAAGATCGTTATAACTATCTACTTTATATTTCAAAAAGGTACCTTCATTCGCAATAACTTGGCATAGCCTTTTATGGCTTTTCCAATCTTTAACTTGATGATCCTTGCAACAATAAGCTAATATTTTGCAGGATTTGCACCTGGTTATAGGAAGACAAATTTTTTTACAATAATGACAAACACCAGATCGAAAGAAATTTTTCTGGTCATCTCTAAAATCTTCCATTAGTTTTAATGTT